TCCCTCTTTGGCGTCTATCATAAATCTTAATTTGGTATGAATGCAAAATCAAAACATTCACATAGAGTCGGAGTATGCATATTTGTAATTATTTTCTACACATTGTAATTATTTAAAAAGCAAGTTGGACTAATCTAAAATTGATCAAAATCCTATTATTTACCAAATGTTTTAAGCAATTAGGTGAACTAACAGATTATGGATGACTGTAGGTAGTTTTTTTTAATATAAGTTTAAGGGATTGGGTGGTACTGGTTAAAGTGATCGCTTGTCACCCAAAAGTCCTGGGTTCAATTCACACATGGGTACAATGTGTGAAGCCCATTTCTTGTGTCTCCTGCGGTGATATTGCTGGAATATTGCTAAAAGCAGTGTAAAACCATACTCACTCACTGATATAAGTTTAGAATCATAAAGCAAGAAGAAAAACGGTCTGGCAAACCACAAAATCATGTAAACAGTTTGAACTACATTAGCATTATAAAGCGAACTAGACACAATAAATCTTAAAGGTTCTCCTCTTTTCTTTTGGCGATTGTAAAATTAACCAAAATTACAATAATAATCTAAGGTACATAAGCATGATAAGAGTGTCACAGTTAAAATTTATACTTGTTACTGAAAAATCCCAAACAAACAATAATTGGCTCCTTAATCCTTAATCAGTACCACAGTATTGGCTCTGTACATATTCTGTCGTGGATCCTAACATAGCTCCATGTTATTCCATATTTCATATTTCATATTTCATATTGTGCAATATCATGGAAGGCAAATTATTGTGCATGTATTACATACTGGGCAAATATACAGTGACAGTCTTCCACATAGTGAAAGGAGAGCTATTGTCATATATTGTAGTCCTATTTATATGAGGTCTTCTGCTGCAAATGAAATTAGTGCTGACTAAAGACCAGAAACAAAACATCTTACCACATTTCCTCTATTAGACGTCAGGGCGTCTATAATTTCCTTCAAGCTGTTGACCCGGCATCTGTTTAATGTTGGCAAAGTGCCACTTCACTTCCTTACATGCCATAACGTGATGTGACAGGCTTCTATTTTTTGGACAGAGTGTATACGTAAGACCGGCATCAATTAGAGGTCGGTGTATATTGGAGCCCTGGCTCTAATATAGGAAATACAGTAATTGTCTTTAATAACCTGTTTGTTTTCCACATACTGGGCAAGATTCTGTTTTCAAAGGAAGATGTAGGGTGATCCAGAAACCCACAGACCCACCCTTTGTGTTCATGTATTGGGAATATATTAGAAGTCATTGTTTCCAATCATTTGAATAGTCATTCTAAACTATTCTCTCTGAAAGGTTCATACTTATGCTTCAACATAAGTTTTTTGCTGGAGCAAGCAGGCGAGAACAAACTTAGTCACAACACCATTTGTGTTTCTTGTACATTTACCTTGACATACAATTCATTTTTGCTCTTGTGCTCTACAGATTATTAAAAAAAACATATCATAAATAAAACATCTTATTACATAACAGTTACTATTTCAAAGGGAATTGAAAGTGTAAGTTCTAAAACTAACTGAACAAATGTTTGATCCAAAACAAGATATTATTACTTACTTTACTTAAGTTTAGTTTCATTTTGAATGCATAATTTGCAACAGTGGTGATTTGTTTGTGTGTGTTTGTGTGTGTGTGTGTGTGTGTGTGTGTGCACGTGTGCATGTGTGTCTGCATGTAGGTGTTTGTGAGCACGTATGCGTGTGGGTTTGTGTCAGTCTCGTTCTCAAGCTCCTCACAGCGATAGTCCGTTCGCGGAGCTCTCTATACTATCGCTGCCACTAGTCAAAACTCCCCACTGTGATAGGTAACCCGAACCATGCTTGGAGTTGAACTCGCAACCGAATGACCGTCATGTTTACAAACAAGTGACGACTGTCGTGATGCCGAATACAGTTACCGCTGCTAAATTACTTTCTTTGTTTGTCAATTTGAATTTCTATTTCATTAAAACTATCATCTTTAAATGCTAAAGTAAAAATGTAAGGGAGTAGTTGGTTGATTTTCCGTTAGTCTGCAATCTCGAACCAATCTGATTATTAAACAAACAAAGTAAAACATGGTCAGTTGTAAACCTTTTCAAAATGAAATATGATGACATTCGCAAAGACATAAACAAAAGTATAAACGTTACTACATTTGGGGTTAGAGGGCAAATTTCAAGATTCTTGTAATGGCCGCGCCCACACTGGTGGCAGCGATGTTACCGAGATTATTACGATGGTGTCACGCACTGGGAAGGAGCTTGTCTCATTCTGTTACAAGGGAGACAACTCTGCAGAGAGTATCCCAGTTTAGCAGTGTTGCAGTATCAAAAGCAGACACTGAAAGCCCATACACATACATGTTACATCATATGACTATGTCCTGTTTCATTTTCTTTTATCATTCCCAGATCACAATAATGGCAAGCCTTTACATCATCTCAAAAAACAAATCTTACTGAATTTACAATCAGGACAACCATATATCAAATATCTTCATAATGTAGGAGATACACATCAGTGTTTTAAAATATGTGTCTGTGATTGTGTAATCAATGCCCGGAAATACCTGAATGTTGTTATTTCCAGACATTGAATACTAAATAAAGCTGGCAAATTTGAATACATACAAGGCTTATTAAGAAAGTAACCACAGAAGATATCTGTAATTGACCCTACCACATTTTTTCAAAGTATGCTCAGCTGTGAGACAATAACAACATCACTGGAATGCAGTGACATCATGAAGCAATGGAGAGCGTCAAATAGTTTCCATGACAAATGAACCGTTGGGTTAGCAGATTGCAGAGACAAATCAACAAAAGTACAGCTTATCTTACAAATAATCAACAAAACATATGTTTCTATAAAGATGCCACATTTTTGTCTTGAGCTAAAACTGTATTTTTAGCCCAAAAAAGTATTATTCTACATTTCCAGGTTTCAAGTCCCACTTAACTATGGCACACAAAACCGCATTTGAATCCAAGATGGTTGGTTTCTGGCATCTCAAGGGATGCAACTCTGCACAGTGAATCACGGTGCCTTAAGACATCAGGGCCACCCGTGCCCCCTGGTGCAAGTGGCTACTAGAAGTAGAGTACAGGTAATATATAGATGATATCTCATGTGTCGAGTGAAATATCATGTATCTCTTATCTAGTGACGGGGGAAGGAGATATTTTCAAAAGTGGCATAGCCACTTTTCTTAACTTCAGGAAACTCAGTCTTTCACACTGAAGTATATAATAATAATCAATATTACATGATGCATCGTGACCTGATACAAAGAGCCAGGCTACACATTCCAGTATATTCCCAAGAGTGAATGAGCTGGGTTTAACGACGTGTTTAACAGTATTCCACGTATCACGGCGTGTCAGCTTAATTGTGGGAGGAAAGCCCAAAGTGATGCAGGTCTCAGATGTTTACCTTTTCGGTGAAACCCACAAGCACGGGTATGGTGCTGACAAACCTAGAAACATAATCGGAGCGACACTGGATTTGAACCCACAATCATAGGTTTCTGGCGTGCCCAAGGGACCCAACTCTGCACAGCGAATCGCGGCGCCTTAGACGACTGGGCCACCCGTGCCCCCAAATTCCTAAGAACAACATGACCATTGAAGTTTATGAAAATATAGTTTATATGAAGAAATACGTATTTACAAAATAAAAGTTAGTCATGTTTTGAAAATGAAGTGACAGCATGAACGTTAAACAGTAATAATTGCAACAACAAAATCAATGTTTTTGACATAATATCATGTGCTGTGTGTGACTTCATCCTGTAAACAAAGTGTGTGTGATTCAACCATTCTCTTACTGATGAGACAAATCTCATGATATCAAGTATGATAGCTGAAAATAATTTACATGGCCGTAGTGTCATAAATTGATAACTTGAATTATTTTACTCTCAATAAATTATATGATATTATACAAAATGCAATCAGCAACACACATTAAGACAACACGTAACAGGAGAATGAATCTACTTGTAATACTGCCTAGTATCATGTGGTCAGTAAAAACTACAACAAAATTATGAAACTGTATGACTAACAAATGAAACATGCAACAAAAAACATGAAGAGGAATTCCGCTCTAAGATAAAAATGCTATAAAACATCAAGTCATGCTGACATTCAAAGATTGTTCAATCGTGTCTAAACCCCAGCAACAAAGGCTTGAATGCATACAGCCAGTATCAACTTTTGTCTGAAGGCACATATAAAGAGTTTGACTTCGTCTGTGAGAGTAAAACATATGTTCCTATACACAACTGTTTTCTAACAATATGTAACAAAACTACATGCATTCTCATAACATAACAAGTATCACTATATGATCTGTATCCGATGTATTTGGGTTACGGAGACACATGACACACATATATCTGTATGATGGTAGTAAAACATGAGACGCTATCCTCTCTCAAACATATCACAATTCGCTTTGGTTATAAGTATGTATCAACAAAAACTCATAAAAACCTCATAAATAATACTAAGAATGACATTTGTAAATAGCTAACAATGTATGTGCCATTCCGCACAGCTATCTGTATGGAGGGAATCATGAATCAATATCAAAACGCTCCCAGTGAAGCCAGCACATAGTCTACTTTTCCTGAACACTCCTATCTTTGGCAGACCTGTTTATTTCACACACAATGTTGTTTGCTATGACTGCTATCATCTGTGAGATGACTTAGAACTTGCACCACATCCAAAGACACGGGAAATACTGTTCGACGCTTGAGGCCGGAAAGGTACAATAAATAGGCAATGTCTTGTTGAGGTATCCACATATAGTCCCTGGCATACTGTGGTATTTGCACTCACCAAATCACACAAGAAATATCATTAGTTCATTTGGCACAAGTGGGAAGTGTTTATCACAGGATGCTATGATTGAACAATAAATTTGTTTCAAAACAGTATCCAACTTTTGACATTCATTTCTCTTGGGTGAAATCTAACTCAGTCTATACACCTCCTGGTCCGCCTGTAAATCTTGGCTTTGACATCCCTGGAACTGATTGGTCTGCTCCGAGAGTACCTATTCTCATCGCTGGTGGAGATGTTGGAAGCAAAGGACATAAAGCTGGTGGAGGAAGACTCTGCCAGGGACTCAGTAGAGGCATGCAGGTCACTGACTACGGAGGGGGCCGGGGAGAGGGACTGGCGCCGGCTTCCCTGATTGTCCCAAGGCGAGATGTGAGGTGATGGTGATGGTGGACAGCCGGGGACTGGGTGGATGATGGTCTGGATCCGCCGCTCACTCCGAGCCAGGTGGTCCCTGGCATAGGCAGCATAGCTACTGAAGGACGATTGTAGTGATGCATACTGGGAGTCATATCTGGAATGAAAAAATACATCTGTTTAGAGCTGTGACGGGAGAAAAAAATGGACTTGAATATGTCTTTGCGTTGGGGGGAAAAAACATCAAAACTCATTATGGCGTGTATAATGCGCACCCCCTGCTACACAGCTGAGTTTTTTTGAAAAAAAGTGTGCACTTTACTCAAGAAAATACGGTAAGCGTTTGTGATTACCGACTCGGACATTTACCATATTTATCAACAACAAATCTGCATTTCGCTTGTTTCAACTCGCACGACACAGTGACCGCTGCTGACTAGTCACTGCTACTCTGTTGAATCATAAGTAATAGCGAAGGGAGGCAACTCCAGAAATATAGTTCATACACAAGAAATAAAATGCACAGATGAAATATGAATCGTTTTGTGTTGTTTGCATTTTAATGAATGTGAAGACTTCATATGGTAATTTTGATGTCACTTTACTATTTCTAAGGGGCCCAGTTGGCCCAGTTGTCTAAGCTGCTGCAGTTCGCTGTGATTAGTTGCATCCCTTGGGCACGGCAAAGCCTATGGTCATGGGTTCAAATCCAGGTTCTCCACGATTATGTTTCTAGGTTTGTCAGCACCATGCCTGTGCTCATGTGTGCCTGTGCTCAGTGATTGACATAATGAGCATCGATCAATTGGGATACAATGACATGCATCAACCAAGTCAGCGAGCCTGACCACCCCATTCCATGAATCGCCATATACAACAAGCATGGGTTGCTGAAGACCTAGCTATTCTACTCCGGATCTTCACAGGTAGTAGTAGTAGTAGTAGTAGTAGTAGTAGTAGTACACACAGACAACCAAGTCCTTGTGAGTGATCTGATTGCTTACCGAGAACTGTTATCCATGAGATCAGGACTGCCAGAGGACCGGCTGTGTTCCTCTCTCATGCTCTGGATCTCATCATCTATGGCCTGATGACAAAATAACATTAACTGAAACATTTATCATACATTTTTGCCACTATCAATCATAAGAATTACAAGGCTCAAAGTCCTGAATGAATGATCCCTCTGACCATAATATAAATGTCAATGCCAGAGGTGAGGTGAGGTGAAATGGGGTTTAACGTCGCGTCCAAGATTATTGCACTTATATATAGCGACGTGCATGCACGTGTATGTGTGTGTGTGTGTTTGTGGCTGCTTGTACTAGTCCGGACTGATGCCGATTTATAGTGCTAGCTCACTGAGATACCATGCCGCAGTTTAACATGAATACCCCACTCAGACACAGTATACTGACTCCAAGCCGACCAGTCCTTGTTTTAGCCCCTTAATGCCGAGCGCCAGACAGGGTAACAACAAGTACCATCTTTTAACGTCTTTTGGTATGACGCGTCTGGGGATCGAACCCCGGACCTTCCGCTCTCCGGGTGGACGCTCTTCCATTAGACCACGGAGGCGGTCTGTCAATGCCAGAGAATAATCTGACTCAACTATCAGCTGAAACAGATTTATATGCTACAACAAGAACTTCTTTGAAATTCTTTGCTGAAGTTAGATGGTGACGATCAGAACTGAAAATACATCTTGGTTTTAATTTATTACATAAAAAATAAAAATAAATTAAATTAAATTAAATTATTTGACATATGACAGGAAAATAATTTATGTCCACAAAATGCAGACTATTTATCAAACTTCTCTTCTGCAGGTCCACACTGAGCTCCCCACCAACCGTTGTAACATGAGGGAATTATGTCATCTTTTGACAAACATGGTAAACAAGAACACAGACTAAGATTTAGCTATTTTAATGAACTCACTGTGCATAGATAAAAAAGTGTGTAGACGTTGACTCTTATTTCCATGTGTATAACCTGATGATCACATCACATCAACACTAAAAGGGCATTTCTGTAACAGGCATCTCGGGACTGCTTAAGACGTGTATTCACCATAAAGGATTTATTACTAAATACATAAATTGCAAGTGATAACATGGTACCAGATTGGCTAACTAGCTATCTCCTTTTGTGTTTACGTTTCCCATAAACCAAGAAAGAAATTAGGCCATGCCTGCTAATGCTGTTGTTGCCTGATAATAAAATGGACAGGCTTGTGTTTAAAGCTCTGAACTATGTCCCTGCTTTCATATCAATTGTTGTCTACAGTTATTTTTATGTTAATGAATAAATAAACATTCTGTGAAGTTCTTATTGTTGACAGATTTACTTATAAGAATTGACTGCAATATGTTTTTGCATTTATGGAGTCATGAATGTAAAACTATTTGTGTGCACACTTTGCTTAAATCCACATAGTGGATTTACACAGTCTGCACCCTGTTTTTTTACATTTATACCGACATAAATGCAAAAACCATTGAAGTCAATTCTTAAATAACCAATATTGCCTGTCAGTACATGACATACACTGCACAACATATATTAAGATGTGTTTATATTCCATACAAAAGACATAAGTAATGTGTTTGCACTTGAGTATTGAGTAAATTAAACTCTGAACTTATTTTATCTTATTCATACTCAGTATGAAGTCAACATGTGCCTTATTACAATAAGGGTTTGCTTGGAAATATCATAATTTTAATCTGAAAAACTTTGAAAACGCATATTCATCTTTAAATCAATATAAGAAAAGATGTGGTTTTTGCTCAAGTCCAACTCCAAATACATCGAACAACATTCGAAGTCATACCCAGAACAGCTAAATTTGATTTTTGTGGCTATCTTGTCAAATATTACAAAAGCATGGAATCGATGTAAGTGTTTGAGTACATATTGAGCATTCTGCTCGCTACTTTCTGCACTATGTACTACCTCCTGTGTGATGCTCCTGTTGTTACTGCCAGCTCTCTGCGGTGTATTCAAGACAGAAAAGGAAGCCGATGAGGAACGGGGTGAGCTGAAACAATACCAATACATACATTACAGTCGGAACACCAAGAACTGATCTAGTCTTATATACACGTGAAGATTCGGGTTAGAATTGGTTCTTCAGCAACTCATGCTTGTCATAAGATGGGACTGAGTGGTCAAACTCGCTGACTTTTTTGATGCACGTCATCCCATTAGCTTAGATCGATGCTCACTTTATTGTCTGGTCCAGACACAATTAATTAGAACTGGAATATTGCTGAGTGCGGCATTAAGCAACAAACAAACAAAACTATTTGCAACATAATGTGCACCAGATCATTGAGAATGTTTTTTAAATAAAAGAGAGGCCTTAGTATTCCCTTGAAGTAAATGAAACTTATAACATGCTACATTTCCCCTGAACACACCTGGTCATTGGCACTGACATGAGCCTCTGCCTGGCTTCCAGCTGCCTCAGTGAAGACTGCGCCTCCAGAATCTGCCTCTGGTTCAGCTGTCTGATGATGGCAGTTTCCTCTATCAGTTGATCTGGGTCAACACCATTTGACATGATCTGGGCGGCTGACACACTCCGGGAGGGGGGACAGTAAACACTGGTATCGCGGTAACTGTTGTGACTGTAGAGGGAACCAGTACTGTGGTGTCTGGACATTGATTCCAAATAAATGTCCCTTGTGTCGTTTGTTCTAGGCACACTGTAGCCATGATGATTGTACATTGAAGGGCACAGGGTTCTATCGGGAGAGAAGCTGGATTCTCGAGATGAATTCAGAGAGTACCGGGATTCAGTTAAGTAGTAATCTGATATTGGGGATACTGATCTTGATTTGATTTGCTGAAGCTCATCCTCTGATTCTGCTACAATTTTCTTCCTGAGGCCAACAAGGTGCCTCTTGCGCTGTTTTGGTGTCATATAATTGGGGGTAAATTCTGGCGCTGACTGCTCAAAGCTCGGAGAACTCCGTCCTCTCTCTGTTGCCCCAGATGTGTGTGGCTTTAGAGGACTGTAGCTGCGAGTTCTCTGATACATTTCCTGTTCCCGTAATCTCTCCAGTTTGAATGATTCAATCTCAGCTCTCCTTTTCATCTTTACAATGTCACTGTTTCGAGCCTTCCTCCTCCCCCGGCCTCGAGACTTCAGACGCTGCTTTGTTTCTATAGCAGCTTCCATTTCCCGTCTTGACTCTTTGAATTGCTGCCTGTAGTTGGAGACATATTCTTTGGTGACTCTGCTCAGACCAGCATTACTTGCTGTAAGTTCAACATACTCTTTCTCCCACGAATCTTCCAGGGAGGCAAGCAACATATCGGTCTGTCCAATGCAATAGTTCATCTTAGCTTCCAGTAGCTCCACAGTGAGGCTCGAGGGCAAGTAATTCAGTGAGAGCAGTTCAATGATTTCTATTCTTTCCCTTTCAAGTCTCTCTAGTTCCGACTGAATTCTAACGGAGTCTGTTGATGTTGACTTCACAGACACCTGACGACATCTGTCACTGCTGAAGCTGGAGTCAAAGGTGGAATCTTCACAATCTGTCTGTGTGAACTCATCAGAACTATCCACACATGCCTCCACTCCGGTGCTCACATAACTCCTGCTTGGTCTGCTAGTGGTGTGTGATGGACTATCACTGGCTGACAGATAGCTATCATCATCAATTATCTCCGGCATGGTTGACGGTGACATACAGGGCGTGGTCGAGTTGTCACTGAGAATGTCCTCCACAACATCATCGCTTACATTAATATGAATCTGAGGATGGCTATGGTGGTTCAAATAATTAAAGCTATGGGTTGTCTGTGTTGCACTTGCACGTGGATGTGGAGTTTGTGAGCAGTCACTTACTGTCACAGGTTCAGGAGTCTGTGTGGTTTCACTGATGTTAGCATTCAAGATTTGTGATTCAGTCGTATCTGATGGTAGTACACACAATTGTCTGTTTTCACTGCCATTTTCACTGCTGTTATTCTTGTTCATGTGTGTTTCTGTACCAAAATAGTTATCTGAAGAATCTGATGATGGCAAAACACTTTTTCTCTCCATATTTTCCTGTTCAAAGCTGGTCCTCTGACTGTTATAGGCTTGTTCTGTTGCAGTGCCTATTCTTAGAGTAAGGTCCTCAACTTCTAATGCCTTCAGTATTTCTTCCCGGTTTAGTTGTGGTTCTCGCTCATCAGTGTGTGCCGGCCTATCTCTCTGAGTGTCTGGTGGACTGCCTTCCATGCTGCCATTGTTGGAACCACCTTGTTCAATGACAGTAACTGGAGACATGCTGCTTGAAGAGGAGGATGGTGGAGACCCTCTTGATTTGGGAGATAGTGTTGTGGATTTTTCCCGTGAACGTTCCAGAAGATCCATCATCCGCGAATGTTCTCTTCTAAGCCCATCAATGTCTTTTCCTACAGTTGTTAGCACTGATGGAAGTGATAATTCATCACTCTGTACATTTGTTATGCAACCCCTTTCAGTAAAAGTATCTTGTGGAGATTCCTCATCTGTAAATGAACCAGGATTTGTTTGAAGTGCAGGTTCTGAATTTCTTCCTTCTATTAGATTCAGCTTCCTGGTTTCAGGTGATTTAACCTCACGTTGAAAACTAGGTCCTGAACCGGAAACATTGGCCACGACTTCTGGCAAATCTGTTTCACTGTTCCCGTTCACAAGAGAAATCCTATTTTCAGAATATACAAGCGTTTCAGTATCACATATATCACTTTCTGTTTGAACACTGGTTCTTGTGTCATATAATTTCTCCATACGTGCATCCTCCTCTTCTGTCCGGACACAAACACCGGTTGTAGTTACATGATTTTTAGCATGTTCCAAATTTTGTTGACTCTCCACTGAATGATTTTCATAATGTTGAGTTTTGATATCTTCATCTGTCTGTAGCAAGTGCGGTAACATCTCTGTGGATGATGACTCCTGTTCCTCATCAGTTTGTACACCAACACAAACATAATCTGTAAAGTCTGCAGACACAGAGGCATCCTTCATGGCAGATCGTTGGACTTTCCCATCCTCCTCATCACTGGGGTGGAAGAGTTCTAAATCTGTTTGAGCACTGCTTGTCAACTGGGCATGAACATCAGAGAACATACTTGAACCTCTTGTCAAACTGTCATGATGTGTAAAGTATGCAGACACAGAGGCATCCTTCATGGCAGATCGTTGGACTTTCCCATCCTCCTCCTCATCACTGGGGTGGAAGAGTTCTGAATCTGTTTGAGCACTGCTTGTCAACGGGGCATGAACATCGGAGAACATACTTGAACCTCTTGTCAAACTGTCAGGATGTGTAAAGTCTGCAGACACAGAGGCATCCTTCATGGCAGATCGTTGGACTTTCCCATCCTCCTCCTCATCACTGGGGTGGAAGAGTTCTGAATCTGTTTGAGCACTGCTTGTCAACTGGGCATGAACATCGGAGAACATACTTGAACCTCTTGTCAAACTGTCATGATGTGTAAAGTCTGCAGACACAGAGGCATCCTTCATGGCAGATCGTTGGACTTTCCCATCCCCCTCCTCATCACTGGGGTGGTAGAGTTCTGAATCTGTTTGAGCACTGCTTGTCAACTGGGCATGAACATCAGAGAACATACTTGAACCTCTTGTCAAACTGTCATGATGTGTAAAGTCTGCAGACACAGAGGCATCCTTCATGGCAGATCGTTGGACTTTTCCATCCTCCTCCTCATCACTGGGGTGGAAGAGTTCTGAATCTGTTTGAGCACTGCTTGTCAACGGGGAATGAACATCGGAGAACATTGGCAAACCTCTTGCTAAACTGTATGTCCTATTGGTAGACATATTTTGACCATGCTGGCTTAGTGATGTGCTATCAGTTTGTGTAATGATTGAATGTGATCTAGTGCCAGTTTGGCTGTATGTTTCTGTCATGTCATATTGTTGTGATGGTCTTCTCAGTGATACACCTTCGACCGTTCTGTAGTTAATTAGATCTAGTCTTGCTTCTCCTGAATGCTGTTGTTGATAGTTCATATGCTGTGGCCTTGCATGGTACTGATGAACCCTTTCTGTACCTCTCTGCATCAAAGGATCAACTGATACACTTAACGTCTGGGTTTCAGAGTCAGTCATCTTACCTCCAGTAGAAGAATCAGTTTGTGCAGATGCATCGCACAATCTCACATTCTGATATTGTCTTTGAATATGACCATGTGGAGAGGAATCTGTATTCTGACTCTGTCCATGAAACACTGCCAGTCTGTGTTCTTCATTGCTTGTATTAAGTATTCTGGAAAACTGTCCTTGTCTCACAGAACTCTCATTATCAAAATGTAGCTGATTTCTGATGGGTGTTTGATTTTCTGAGCTAGTCCTATGGATAGCAAGGCTATCTGTTTGAGTTGATACACTGGAAAGATAGCTTCTGCTGGAAGCAAATGAGGTAACAGATGGGGAGTTGGCCAAGGAGCTAAATCCTGAGTCCCTCCTGGTCAAGGCATAGTATTCTTCATCTGACGAAAAGTCTCGATACTGGTAGCCTACATCAGGAGGCAGTGGGTGAGGTGGTTGACGTCTCATTGTTCTGCTTGCCATATATTTAGATGTAGGAGGTGGCTGATATCCTTTCACTGTCTCATTTGTTTGTGATGTTTGTGACTTCATGCAGACATCTGGGGTAATGTTCTCTTCATCGGTTTGAATTCCGGCAGTACTTACATTACTTCCCACGTTATCTGTCTGAGTACTACACTCATTCAAAACGCATGTCTGACTCCACTGAGATACATGATGGATGGCAGTAAGAGATGATTGATCTCTTTGTGAACACTGTGATATCTGTTGAGATGAATATTTCTGAGATGAGACTGGCTGCCAATTATTTGGAGGTTCACCAATATCTTGAAAAGGTTGAGATTGTGTAGAACTGTTAGAATGATTATGTTCTGTTATCAATTTTGCATGTCTCTGTAAGTCTGTAATGCATTCACTTTGCGGATTCATCTCAGAGATATGTGTTGCATGTCTTGATGAATTTTCAGCCATTGATTGAGTCTTTAGTTGCCATACAACACTTTCACATGACGGCATTGTCCGATCAACAAGTTCTTCATGTTGGGTATCAATGGAAGGATTAGTTTCCATGCTTTCTGCCTGCCCCAGCATCAGCCTTGGCTGTAATCCAGAAAGTCCATGAGAACTAATTTCTCTTTCCTGATCTCTCACACTATTTGTGTGGTAACTTTCATCTCTACCAACAGGGATAACAGTTGGAAGAACAGCATCCTTATTCTCCTCTTGAGGCTGCTTGTAGTTATCAACTGCTTCTATAATTCCTGGGAGAGATCTGTGCACAGTTTCTGATACTTCATATTTAGGCAATGTCTCTGATGGCGCTGATCTTTCCACTGGAACTTGGATTGCAGCATCTGTTTCATGCAAGTAGGAGTTGTTCGTTGTTTCTTTGACTTCAGTAGCTGATCTTGGTACATCTACTTGTGGAGTAGCTGTTTCCTTACCTGGCACAAACACATATATTAAACTCTCACTAGAAGAATGTGCACTGTCTCCAATTGCTTTCGCGGCAGAAAGAGATTCATATGATAAGGACTGTTCTGGAAGTTCTGGCTCAGGGCTTTCACTGGGGATATTTGACATTGACAGAGACTTTTCTTTGGACATTGCATATCCCCCTTGATTTATCTCAACACTCTCACCATCATGAACAGTTGTGATGCTAGAGCTTTCTCTTTCTGTACAGCCTGTGTTCAAAAGTGGATGTGGCTTATCCTCCATGTCTCCTTGTCGGCCATTATGAGTGTGAACCCTGGTGGTGGTACTGGTTGTACCTGTTTCCACTGACTGCAGCACTAGAACCTCAGGGCTGTTACTTGTTGTGTGTCTAGTCTCACATGAGTTACCTTCTCCTTGCCCCAACTCTACTTCATCAGCATCATACACATTCCCTGAATCTTTCAGTGAGGCCCTTTCCCGTACTTCATCCTTGGAAACTAATGTAAGGTAGTCTTCAGGTGACAATGTTTCATGTGATGTCTGTCCAACTTGACGTTCTTGTTGGTAGATATGTTTTGGTGTGTCTTGTTCTTTACTTTGGCTACTTCGTGGGGATGAAGACTCAAGGTCAGTGTAGTCAGAACTTATGGCAGAGTCACTCTGATCCCTGTATTTCAGCTTCTTAATTTCTTCTTTAACTTCCTTACGTAAAGCTTTCCTTTCAGTTTCAGTTTCAATATTGTCAATGTTCGAAACTAGTTCCAAAAGGTACCTGTTCTCTTTTGTTTTTGTGTTATGTACTGACAAACTTGGTTCTGATCCAGATATTACAGGCTTCAGAAAATCAGTGGATGGCATTTGAGAGAAATGTCTGTCTGACATCTGTGGACTTGTCATTTCATTGTTTGATTCTGAAACATGTTCTTCTCTGGTCTTCTCAAGTCGTACAACTGATGCTTCTGGTTGCAAGGACTGAGTGTTACTTGTGGCATTATAGGGATTTACATTCACACCTTTGGTGCCATTTGTTTCACAAAGAATATGATGCTGAGAATAAGGGGCATCGTGGTGAGAAATGTTATCGCTGGTTTTCACATTTTCAACTGATGCTCTTTCACGCACAAGACTGTCACTGGAGTCCATCTGATAAGTAGAATCAGTATCACCTTTCCTCTGACCAGGATCATTTGTATTCAGCTCTAATGCCAACTGTAAACTCGTGCTATATCCAGCATTTCGGCCATGAACCCAAGTGGTTGTAATATTGGCAGGTTCAATAGATTTAGCTCCTTGCTTCAAATCAGCTCTTGCCAAAGGATTTTCAGTGATTTTTCCTAACACAGCTTTGCTTTTCATGAGTGATTGTGAGTTTTCTTGAGAACTTCTTTCGGGGAATAGACTGCCTGAGTTTTCACGCTTCACATTTAAACCCTTATAGTCAGTGTTATGTGGTTCCTCTCTGTGATTATAAGAATCAAACACATCAAGTAATGCTTTCCTGTCTTCTCCAGTAATGTGTACATAGGGCGTTTGTTTGGCTTCTTGATGAGCATCAGCTTCCTTCTGGCCAACATGCTGTTGCCAAATTCTTTGATCATCGGATATAAAGAAATCAACTGTCTCTGTGTCTTCCCTGTAATCATCAGCTTCCTTCTGGTCAACACCTGGAGGTGCATTCTTGTCATCATCAGATACAAGTACATTTGCAGGTCGTGTGGTGTCTTGCTGAGTATCAGGTTTCTTCTTAACACTCTGTTGCCAACTTCTACGATAATCAGATAGGAACAAATCAATTGAATCTGTGACTTCCTTGTAATCGTCATCTTTAGAATGGTCATCATCAGTTACAGGTACAGAAGATGTTTGTTTGGATTCTTGATGACAATTAGCTATCTTCTCAAAATTATGTTGCCCAATTCTTTGATCATCAGATATGAACAGGTCAACTGTCTCTGTATGTTCCCTGTAATCATCAGCTTCCTTCTGGTCAACAAGGGACGATGCTTTCCTGTCATCATCAGTTACAGGTACAGAGGATGTTTGTTTTGCTCCTTGATGAGAAGCAGCTTCTTTCTCTTTGACATGCTGTTGCCAATTTCTCTTATCATCAGATATGAACAGGTCAACTGTCTCTGTGTGTTCCCTGTAATCATCAGCCTCCTCCTGGTCAACAAGGGACGATGCTTTCCTGTCATCAGTTACAGGTACAGAAGATGTTTGTTTGGCTTCATGATGAGAAGCAGCTTCCTTCTCTTCAACATTTTGTTGCCCTATTCTTTGATCATCAGATATGAACAGGTCAACTGTCTCTGTGTGTTCCCTGTATTCATCAGGTTCCTTCTGGACAACATCTGCAGATGCTTCCTTCTCTTCAACATTTTGTTGCCCTATTCTTTGATCATCAGATATGAACAGGTCAACCGTCTCTGTGTGTTCCCTGTAATCATCAGTTTCCTTCTGATCAACATCTGCAGATGCTTTCCTGTCATCATCAGTTACAGGTACAGAGGATGTTTGTTTTGCTCCTTGATGAGATTCAGCTTCTTTCTCTTGGACATGCTGTTGCCCAATTCTTTGATCATCAGATATGAACAGGTCAACTGTCTCTGTGTGTTCCCTGTAATCATCAGCCTCCTCCTGGTCAACAAGGGACGATGCTTTCCTGTCATCAGTTACAGGTACAGAAGATGTTTGTTTGGCTTCATGATGAGAAGCAGCTTCCTTCTCTTCAACATTTTGTTGCCCTATTCTTTGATCATCAGATATGAACAGGTCAACTGTCTCTGTGTGTTCCCTGTATTCATCAGCCTCCTTCTGGACAACATCTGCAGATGCTTCCTTCTCTTCAACATTTTGTTGCCCTATTCTTTGATCATCAGATATGAACAGGTCAACCGTCTCTGTGTGTTCCCTGTAATCATCAGCTTCCTTCTGGTCAACATCTGCAGATGCTTTCCTGTCATCATCAGGTACAGGTACAGAAGATGTTTGTTTGCCTCCTTGATGAAAATCAGCTTCCTTCTCTTGGACATGCTGTTGCCCAATTCTTTGATCATCGGATATGAACAGGTCAACCGTCTCTGTGTGTTCCCTGTAATCATCAGCTTCCTTCTGGTCAACATCTGCAGATGCTTTCCTGTTGTTATCAGTAACAAGTACAGAAGATGTTTGTTTGCCTCCTTGATGTGAACCAGCTTCCTTCTCTTCAACATTCTGTTGCCCAATTCTTTGATCATCAGATATGAACAGGTCAACTGTCTCTGTGTGTTCCCTGTAATCATCAGCCTCCTTCTGGCCAACATTTGCAGATGCTTTCCTGTCATCATCAGTTATAGGTACAGAGGATGTTTGTTTGCCTCCTTGATGAAAATCAGCTTCCTTCTCTTCAACATTCTGTGGCCCGATTCTTTGATTATCAGATATGATCAGGTCAACTGTCTCTGTGTGTTCCCTGTAATCATCAGCTTCCTTCTGGTCAACATCTGCAGATGCTTTCCTGTTGTTATCAGTAACAAGTACAGAGGATGTTTGTTTGCCTCCTTGATGTGAATCAGCTTCCTTCTCTTCAACATTCTGTGGCCCGATTCTTTGATTATCAGATATGATCAGGTCAACTGTCTCTGTGTGTTCCCTGTAATCATCAGCTTCCTTCTGGCCGACAAGGGTAGATGCTTTCCTGTCGTCATCAGTTACAGGTACAAAAGATGTTTGTTTGCCTCCTTGATGAGAATCAGCTTCTTTCTCTTGGACATACTGTTGCCAAATTCTTTGATCATCGGATATAAAGAAATCAACTGTCTCTGTGTGTTCCCTGTAATCATCAGCTTCCTTCTGGTCACAATCTGCAGCTGCTTTCCTGTCGTCATCAGTTACAGGTAAAAAAGATGTTTGTTTGGCTCCTTGGAGAGAATCAGCTTCCTTCTCTTGGACATGCTGTTGCCTAATTCTTTGATCATCGGATATAAAGAAATCAACTGTCTCTGTGTGTTCCCTGTAATCATCAGCTTCCTTCTGGCCAACAAGGGTAGATGCTTTCCTGTCATCATCAGTTACAGGTACAAAAGATGTTTGTTTGCCTCCTTGATGAGCAACAGCTTCCTTCTCTTCAACATGCTGTAGCCCAATTCTTTGATCATTAGATATGAACAGGTCAACTGTCTCTGTGTGTTCCCTGTAATCATCAGCTTCCTTCTGGTCAACATCTGCAGATGCTTTCCTGTCATCATCAGGTACAGGTACAGAGGATGTTTGTTTTGCTCCTTGATGAGATTCAGCTTCTTTCTCTTGAACATGCTGTTGCCCAATTCTTTGATTATCAGATATGAACAGGTCAACTGTCTCTGTGTGTTCCCTGTAATCATCAGCTTCCTTCTGGCCAACAAGGGTAGATGCTTTCCTGTCTTCATCAGTTACAGGTACAAAAGATGTTTGTTTGCCTCCTTGATGAGAATCAGCTTCTTTCTCTTGGACATGCTGTTGCCCAATTCTTTGATCATCGGATATAAAGAAATCAACTGTCTCTGTGTGTTCCCTGTAATCATCAGCTTCCTTCTGGTCACAATCTGCAGCTGCTTTCCTGTCATCATCAGTTATAGGTACAAAAGATGTTTGTTTGGCTCCTTGGAGGGAATCAGCTTCCTTCTCTTGGACATGCTGTTGCCTAATTCTTTGATCATCGGATATAAAGAAATCAACTGTCTCTGTGTGTTCCCTGTAATCATCAGCTTCCTTCTGGCCAACAAGGGTAGATGCTTTCCTGTCATCATCAGTTACAGGTACAAAATATGTTTGTTTGCCTCCTTGATGAGCAACAGCTTCCTTCTCTTCAACATGCTGTAGCCCAATTCTTTGATCATCAGATATGAACAGGTCAACTGTCTCTGTGTGTTCCCTGTAATCATCAGCTTCCTTCTGGTCAACATCTGCAGATGCTTTCCTGTCATCAATACTTACAGGTACAGAGGATGTTTGTTTTGCTCCTTGATGAGATTCAGCTTCTTTCTCTTGGACATGCTGTTGCCCAATTCTTTGATCATCGGATATGAACAGGTCAACTGTCTCTGTGTGTTCCCTGTAATCATCAGCTTCCTTCTGGTCAACATCTGCAGATGCTTTCCTGTCATCATCAGGTACAGGTACAGAGGATGTTTGTTTTGCTCCTTGATGAGATTCAGCTTCTTTCTCTTGGACATGCTGTTGCCCCATTCTTTGATCATCAGATATGAACAGGTCAACTGTCTCTGTGTGTTCCCTGTAATCATCAGCCTCCTTCTGGCTAACAAGGGTAGATGCTTTCCTGTCATCATCAGTTACAGGTACAAAAGATGTTTGTTTGCCTCCTTGATGAGCAACAGCTTCCTTCTCTTCAACATGCTGTAGCCCAATTCTTTGATCATTAGATATGAACAGGTCAACTGTCTCTGTGTGTTCCCTGTAATCATCAGCTTCCTTCTGGTCAACATCTGCAGATGCTTTCCTGTCATCATCAGGTACAGGTACAGAAGATGTTTGTTTGACTCCTTGATGAGATTCAGCTTCTTTCTCTTGGACATGCTGTAGCCCAATTCTTTGATCATCAGATATGAACAAGTCAACCGTCTCTGTGTGTTCCCTGTAATCTTCAGCCTCCTTCTGGCCAACATCTGCAGATGCTTTCATGTCATCATCAGTTATAGGTACAGAGGATGTTTGTTTGCCTCCTTGATGAGCATCAGCTTCCTTCTCTTCAACATGCTGTTGCCCAATTCTTTGATCATCAGATATGAACAAGTCAACTGTCTCTGTGTGTTCCCTGTAATCTTCAGCCTCCTTCTGGCCAACATCTGCAGATGCTTTCATGTCATCATCAGTTATAGGTACAGAGGATGTTTGTTTGCCTCCTTGATGAGCATCAGCTTCCTTCTCTTCAACATTTTGTTGCCCAATTCTTTGATCATCAGATATGAACAGGTCAACCCTCTCTATGTGTTCCCTGTAATCATCAGCCTCCTTCTGGTCAACATCTGCAGATGCTTTCCTGTCATCATCAGGTACAGGTACAGATGATGTTTGTTTGACTCCTTGATGAAAATCAGCTTCCTTCTCTTGGACATGCTGTTGCCCAATTCTTTGATCATCGGATATGAACAGGTCAACTGTCTCTGTGTGTTCCCTGTAATCATCAGCTTCCTTCTGGTCAACATCTGCAGACGCTTTCCTGTCATCATCAGTTACAGGTACAGAGGATGTTTGTTTTGCTCCTTGATGAGATTCAGCTTCTTTCTCTTGGACATGCTGTTGCCCCATTCTTTGATCATCGGATATGAACAGGTCAACTGTCTCTGTGTGTTCCCTGTTATCATCAGCTTCCTTCTGGCCAACAAGGGTAGATGCTTTCCTGTCATCATCAGTTACAGGTACAGAGGATGTTTGTTTGCCTCCTTGATGAGAATCAGCTTCTTTCTCTTGGACATACTGTTGCCAAATTCTTTGATCATCGGATATAAAGAAATCAACTGTCTCTGTGTGTTCCCTGTAATCATCAGCTTCCTTCTGGTCACCATCTGCAGCCGCTTTCCTGTCGTCATCAGTTATAGGTACAAAAGATGTTTGTTTGGCTCCTTGGAGAGAATCAGCTTCCTTCTCTTGGACATGCTGTTGCCTAATTCTTTGATCATCGGATATAAAGAAATCAACTGTCTCTGTGTGTTCCCTGTAATCTTCAGCTTCCTTCTGGTCAACAAGGGTAGATGCTTTCCTGTCATCATCAGTTACAGGTACAAAAGATGTTTGTTTGGCTCCTTGATGAGCAACAGCTTCCTTCTCTTCAACATGCTGTAGCCCAATTCTTTGATCATTAGATATGAACAGGTCAACTGTCTCTGTGTGTTCCCTGTAATCATCAGCTTCCTTCTGGTCAACATCTGCAGATGCTTTCCTGTCATCATCAGTTACAGGTACAGAGGATGTTTGTTTTGCTCCTTGATGGGATTCAGCTTCTTTCTCTTGGACATGCTGTTGCCCAATTCTTTGATCATCAGATATGAACAGGTCAACTGTCTCTGTGTGTTCCCTGTAATCATCAGCCTCCTTCTGGTCAACATCTGCAGATGCTTTCCTGTCATCATCAGGTACAGGTACAGAAGATGTTTGTTTGTCTCCTTGATGAAAATCAGCTTCCTTCTCTTGGACATGCTGTTGCCCAATTCTTTGATCATCGGATATGAACAGGTCAACCGTCTCTGTGTGTTCCCTGTAATCATCAGCTTCCTTCTGGTCAACATCTGCAGATGCTTTCCTGTCATCATCACTTACAGGTACAGAGGATGTTTGTTTTGCTCCTTGATGAGATTCAGCTTCTTTCTCTTGGACATGCTGTTGCCCAATTCTTTGATCATCAGATATGAACAAGTCAACCGTCTCTGTGTGTTCCCTGTAATCTTCAGCCTCCTTCTGGCCAACATCTGCAGATGCTTTCCTGTCATCATCAGTTACAGGTACAAAAGATGTTTGTTTGCCTCCTTGATGAGGATCAGCTTCCTTCTCTTCAACATTTTGTTGCCCAATTCTTTGATCATCAGATATGAACAGGTCAACTGTCTCTGTGTGTTCCCTGTAATCATCAGCTTCCTTCTGGTCAACATCTGCAGATGCTTTCCTGTCATCATCAGTTACAGGTACAGAGGATGTTTGTTTTGCTCCTTGATGGGATTCAGCTTCTTTCTCTTGGACATGCTGTTGCCCAATTCTTTGATCATCAGATATGAACAGGTCGACTGTCTCTGTGTGTTCCCTGTAATCATCAGCCTCCTTCTGGTCAACATCTGCAGATGCTTTCCTGTCATCATCAGGTACAGGTACAGAAGATGTTTGTTTGTCTCCTTGATGAAAATCAGCTTCCTTCTCTTGGACATGCTGTTGCCCAATTCTTTGATCATCGGATATGAACAGGTCAACCGTCTCTGTGTGTTCCCTGTAATCATCAGCTTCCTTCTGGTCAACATCTGCAGATGCTTTCCTGTCATCATCACTTACAGGTACAGAGGATGTTTGTTTTGCTCCTTGATGAGATTCAGCTTCTTTCTCTTGGACATGCTGTTGCCCAATTCTTTGATCATCAGATATGAACAAGTCAACCGTCTCTGTGTGTTCCCTGTAATCTTCAGCCTCCTTCTGGCCAACATCTGCAGATGCTTTCCTGTCATCATCAGTTATAGGTACAGAGGATGTTTGTTTGCCTCCTTGATGAGGATCAGCTTCCTTCTCTTCAACATTTTGTTGCCCAATTCTTTGATCATCAGATATGAACAGGTCAACTGTCTCTGTGTGTTCCCTGTAATCATCAGCTTCCTTCTGGTCAACAAGGGACGATGCTTTCCTGTCATCATCAGTTACAGGTACAAAAGATGTTTGTTTGCCTCCTTGATGAGAAACAGCTTCCTTCTCTTCAACATTCTGTTGCCCAATTCTTTGATCATCAGATATGATCAGGTCAACTGTCTCTGTGTGTTCCCTGTAATCATCAGCCTCCTTCTGGTCAACATCTGCAGATGCTCTCCTGTCATCATCAGTTACAGGTAAAGAAGATGTATGTTTGCCTCCTTGATGAAAATCAGCTTCCTTCTCTTGGACATGCTGTTGCCCAATTCTTTGATCATCAGATATGAACAGGTCAACTGTCTCTGTGTGTTCCCTGTAATCATCAGCCTCCTTCTGGCCAACATCTGCAGATGGTTTCCTGTCATCAATACTTACAGGTACAGAGGATGTTTGTTTGCCTCCTTGATGAGAATCAGCGTCCTTCTCTTCAACATTATGTTGCCCAATTCTTTGATCATCAGATATGAACAGGTCAACTGTCTCTGTGTGTTCCCTGTAATCATCAGCTTCCTTCTGGTCAACAAGGGACGATGCTTTTCTGCCATCATCAGTTACAGGTACAGAGGATATTTGTTTGCCTCCTTGATGAGCATCAGCTTCCTTCTCTTCAACAAGGGACGATGCTTTCCTGTCATCAGTTACAGGTACAGAAGATGTTTGTTTGGCTTCATGATGAGAAGCAGCTTCCTTCTCTTCAACATTTTGTTGCCCTATTCTTTGATCATCAGATATGAACAGGTCAACTGTCTCTGTGTGTTCCCTGTATTCATCAGGTTCCTTCTGGACAACATCTGCAGATGCTTCCTTCTCTTCAACATTTTGTTGCCCTATTCTTTGATCATCAGATATGAACAGGTCAACCGTCTCTGTGTGTTCCCTGTAATCATCAGTTTCCTTCTGATCAACATCTGCAGATGCTTTCCTGTCATCATCAGTTACAGGTACAGAGGATGTTTGTTTTGCTCCTTGATGAGATTCAGCTTCTTTCTCTTGGACATGCTGTTGCCCAATTCTTTGATCATCAGATATGAACAGGTCAACTGTCTCTGTGTCTTCCCTGTATTTATTAGCCTCCTTCTGGTCAACATCTGCAAATGCTTCCCCGTCATCATCAGTTATATGTACAGAAGATGTTTGTTTGCCTCCTTGATGAGATTCAGCTTCCTTCTCTTGGACATGCTGTTGCCTAATTCTTTGATCATCGGATATAAAGAAATCAACTGTCTCTGTGTCTTCCCTGTAATCATCAGCTTCCTTCAGGGCAACATCTGGAGGTGCATTCTTGTCATCATCAGATACAAGTACATTCGCAGCTCGTGTGGTGTCTTGCTGAGTATCAGGTTTCTTCTTAACACCCTGTTGCCAACTTCTACGATAATCAGATAGGAACAAATCAAGTGACTCTGTGACTTCCCTGTATTCATCAGCTTCCATCTGGTCAACATCTTCAGATGTTTGTTTGGCTTCTTGAGTATCAGCGTCCTTCTCTTCAACATCCTGTTGCCCAATTCTTTGATCATCAGATTTGAACAAATCAATAGTGTCTGTGTTCTTCCTGTAATCTTCAGCTTCCTTCTGGTCAACATCTCCAGATACATTCCAGTTTTCACCAGGTATGTGTACATAAGGCGTTTCTGTGTCTTCTTGGTAAGCACCAGCTGTCTTCTCCACAAGATTCAGTTGCCTAATTCTGTGAACATCAGATTTGATCAAATCAGTTGTCTCCGTTTCTTCCCTGAAACCATCAGTTACCTTCTGGTCAACAAGTACATCAGCTGTTTGTTTGGCTTCCTGTCGAGTTTCAGCTTCCTTTTTGGTAACATTCTGTTGCCTACTTCTGCGATCATCAGGTATGAAGAAATCACTTGTTTGTGTGTCGTCCCTGTAACCAGCAGTTATTTTCTCATCATTTCCTGGATAGGCTTCCCTGTCTTCATCAGGTACATATACATTAGCTGTTTGTGTGTCTTCTCTCTCAGGGTCAGCTTCCTTTTGGTCAACATCTGCAGATGATTTCCTGTCTTCATCAGAAACGTGCACAGCACATGTTTGTGTGTCAATCATCTGTTGTTCCACGTAATCATCAGTTTCCTTTTGATCAACACCTGGAGATGCTTTCCTGTCATGGGGTTTGAGTACATGAACTGTTTGTCTGTCTTCTCTGTGAACATTAGCTTCTTTCTCAACATCCTGCAGCCTGCTTCTCAGATCCTTACATATGAACAGATCAACTGTTTGTGTGTCTTCTCTGCTATTATCAGTTACCTCCTGCCCAACATCTTCAGGAACTTTCCCATCACCATCAGATATGTGTACAGAAGATGTTTGTTTGGCTTCTTGATGAGCATCAGCTTCCTTCTGTTCAACATTCTGTTGCCCAATTCTTTGATCATCAGATATGAACAGGTCAACTGTCTCTGTGTGTTCCCTGTAATCATCAGCCTCCTTCTGGTCAACATCTGCAGATGCTTTCCTGTCATCATCAGTTACAGATACAGAGGATGTTTGTTTGGCTCCTTGATGAGCATCAGCTTCCTTCTGGTCAACATCTGCTGATGATTTCCTGTCTTCATCAGAAACATGTACAACATCTGCTTGTGTGTCAATCATTTGTGTGACTTCCTTGTAATCATCAGCTTTCTTCTGGTCAATAGCTGCTGATTTCCTGTCTTCATCAGAAACATGTACAGCATCTGCTTGTGCGTCAATCATCTGTGTGTCTTCCCTGTAATCATCAGCTTTCTTCTGGTCAACATCTGCTGATGATTTCCTGTCTTCATCAGAAACATGTACAGCATCTGCTTGTGCGTCAATCATCTGTGTGTCTTCCCTGTAATCATCAGCTTTCTTCTGGTCAACATCTGCTGATGATTTCCTGTCTTCATCAGAAACATGTACAGCATCTGCTTGTGCATCAATCATCTGTGTGACTTCCTTGTAATCACCAGCTTTCTTCTGGTCAACATCTGCTGATTTCCTGTCTTCATCAGAAACATGTACAGCATCTGCTTGTGCGTCAGTCATCTGTGTGTCTTCCCTGTAATCATCAGCTTTCTTCTGGTCAACATCTGCTGATGATTTCCTGTCTTCATCAGAAACATGTACAGCATCTGCTTGTGCGTCAATCATCTGTGTGTCTTTCCTGTAGTTATCAGATTCCTTCTTGTCAAAATCTGCAGGAACCTTCCTGTTATCATCAGGTATGAGTTCATTACCTGTTTGTGTGTCTTCTCTGAGAGCACCAGCTTCCTTCTCAACACCAAGTTGCCTGCTTCTCTGATCACCAGATACATACAAATCCATTGTTTGAGTGTCCTCACTGTGACCTTCAGACATTTTGGTGGTTGTTCTGTCTGGCAAAACATGACCTTGCTGATGTTGGTTACCCATTTGGTCTTCTGTTGGACTCTCCCTGATCACTTCATGGTGTACATGTCCATCACAAAGATCTATGTCACTACTGCCAGGTGAACTGTCTGGTAGAATGTGATTGTCTGATGCAACAATTTCTATCTCTTTGGTTGCTGTTGAATAATGTCCACAAATTGGATTATCACTTTCAGAATCATCAATGATGTGATCTGTTTCAAGTATGATGCCAGATACTTGACCATATTCCGTTATGTTTTGATGTGCTGATGTTGGCACACCACTATTTATTTGGTTCCTCGCTTCTCTTTCATCATTAGAAACAGTTTCATCAGACACATTCACACTGCATTCACTGCCTGATGCTTCAATTACTTGTATGGAAACATTACTTTCAGGTGCCAGGTTTTCTGCTTTTCTTAACTGTTGTCCTTGATTAACATTCATATCACATGGAGTTTGGGGCATAAAAGATGCTGATGATTGTTTGAAGTCATCTGTGCTTGGTATCTGAGAACCATCAGCCTTGGGACCTTGAGCCATTTCACCACGATGTAAACTATGCTGCTCTACAGGAACACTTTCAGACTCATGAGAGGACCTATTCAAGTCTGCATTCCATTCTAAGTCTCTTTGATCTTCCTTGGTACTCTTTTCAAACTCCATTTTTAATAATACACTGTTAGGACTTTGTTCACCAGAAGAAGTAAAGTTTTGTTCAGTACTCTCAGAATGTAAGGTGCCATCTCTTAGGGACATTTCCTGAGGTTGTGAAGGCACATCAGCTCTACTGTGACTTCTGTCTCCTATACTATTATCTTCCAAATCCAGATCAGAGGAAGTCACAGGTACTTTTTCAGAATCTTCTTGAGACAACTCCACTATGACAGAGCTATTTATAGCTTTTGTATTGTCCTTTCTATCACTCTCAGGTACATGTTTGGTCTTAGCTTGTTCATCATCTGACCTTTCTTCTGGTATGTCATGTAGGAATGTTGTTGAAGCTCTATCTATGCAAGGCAAAGACTGTACTGAACCCATTTCATCTGTAACCTTTGTCTCATCAGAAGACTTGATGGGTTCATCTCTTCCAAGTGTGTCATCACTAACATAGGGCAGTGTCATGCCACTCATACCAGCTAGAACACCCTGGCCATCAGCAAAATACAGAGCTTCTGAATTCCCAAAGTCTGAATTGACAAATGACTGTTTGATGGTTTCAGGAAATGATGTTTTGTTCTCTTGAACATGGATTGTGCTTTCTGTACTTGGGGAGACAGCATTTTGTTCTACAAGATGCAAATCAGCCCTAGGTTCTGTTGAGTAAGTTGCCACATCCTTATTGACATCATCAACAATGTATTCTGTGGTAGCCTTTCCTATAACAACCCATGGGGAATTAGATCTACCTTTCAGGTTAAGATCTGCATCCTCAGCATTCTGGTTGATGTGAAAGGGCTCAACCTGCCCCACTTGCACAGTTTCTGTCTGCCACTGAGGAAGTTCTCTGTGATTGTCTGTACTTAATGTTCCCCGCTGACTTGGGTTGCTTTGAGAACCATCACTGATGCCACTGACTTCGGACACAGGTCTTCCAGAATGTTGTGGATTAAGCAGAAGTGTTGTTTTCTGTTCTCCAGAAGAATCAGATACTCCTTCTAAACTATCGTCACTCATCTCACAGGGTTCATCAGAATAGTCCCTATCTAGTTCACAATTATCACCACACCCAGTTAGGCTTTGGGGATTGCTTCCAGAAATCATGTGACTTTCGGGGACTCCATCTCCTATGTTTGTCATCCCACTTTCTTTGGAGACAGCAGTTGGAATGTTCACAGGGCTTACAACATTCTTTGAACACACAGTCCCTTCAGCTTCATGCTCTATTTGCCCAAGCACTGAATCTCCCTCATAGACATAAGCAGCAGAATTGAAGTCCTCTTCCACAATCTGCCGCTCAACAGAGCTTTCCCTGCTAACACTGGAGTCTTGTAGAACATCCTCACACTCTAATGAATGATTGGACTCATACATTTTCTCTGTTACAATCACACCTGTGTCACGATTACCATTTCCCTTTTGCAACAACACTTTTTCTTTGGTGACTGACTCAAACCGGTCTTCTGTTTGGAATGTTTTAGTCTCTGTCAAGTTGATATTGATACTATCTGGGATAAAAGTTGCAGCAGTTTCTACCTGCCCACCAGCAATGGCTTTTGGTTTTAATCCATATGTTCTGTATTCAGTTTTTTCAACATTGTAACTAATGTCTGTCTTATCTTCATTGATAGTGACTTCATATTTGATTGTACTTCTTGAATTGTCATTTCTACTCTTAGTTGTAGAATCACGACTGACTCTAGTAACTGGATTTTCACTTTCACCATTTTGTACAGTTTTAGATTCCAATGAAGGCTCCTCACATGAATCTTTTGTGTTCTTGGATTGTTCATCATTTGCCCACACTACAGTGGGTGTAACAGTCAAGTTAGATCTCTTGGTGGCAACTCTCGTACTTTTAGTATATAGCTGTTCCGATGGTACAGAAGAGGGTACTGGTGAGAGAGAATCTCCTTCCTCTGAGCTCCACATATTGACAGGAGACCTCCTCATCTGTACACTGGCCCCCTCAGTCTGAGTGAAATCATTTGACATGCTGCCATCACTCTGGCCTGGGACACCCCTGGCATTGTCTGTGTCACTTCTTCCTTTCTCCAATACTGAGTTGTCACCAAGTCCTTGAAACAAAACTTCATCTGCTGGGGACTGAGAAAATCTCCGCATGACAGTTCCTAAGTCCAATGCAGGCATGTCATGCTGATGAGATCCAGCATTGTCTACTGAACCCAAGCCAGCCGTCAACTGGTCCATGGAATTTGTAAAGTTTGAGAATTCTTCTAAAGTCTCTTGATTTTCCTCTGGGTGAGTGAGTTGCTTCCCATCTGATTGAGTGAGTGAATCATCAGAATAGACACCATCAGTGTCTGAACTTTGATATTCATCTGAACTATGGTGTCTCCCTTTGTGCTTTGACACGGGGCGTCTTCTGCGTCTGGTGCCGGAGCCAGGTCTGGAGGACTGTCTTGAGTGATTAGCTGAAACAAGGAAAACAGTTTAGATACATGCCAGAAATGTCAACCTAAATTTTACATGAAATATTTCAAATTCTGAGTAATGAAATGTCAAGACAACCATTTCATATTTTTATCGTGAATTTCAGGCATTTGAGAAAATGAAACACTCATCCATATGTAACAATCAGAGGATCATTTGACATTCTTGCTCATCTATTTGGCTATCAAGCTTACTTTTGTTTTAAATGAGTCAATAACATGTTGGTAGTTGTTATCCCCAAACCTTCAGATGTCAGTATGATGGCACATGGCTGTTTCCTACTAGATGAGCTAACTTTGGACATGATTGACCTTTCTACAAAGTATAAATGTTTACTTGTATGTATTTCACTTTGAAAGCTTTACCATAAGACCTTATGTATAACGATTCAAGTCTAAAAGTTATTGCTTATTTTGTTACCTTAGTTAGTTTAAGCTAGTTACCATGCAGAGATTGTAACCACTGTTTTTTTAGCTAGTTAAGATTCAGTGAAACCTGGTAATGATATTATAGTCATATCAACTTTTATAGGAACATGATGATGTTGAATTGACAATGATATTGTCACATTGTTTTAAATAGTGTACAGATTGATAACACATTCCATTTTATCATATTTAATTAATTCATGTACCACGCATTATCTTGCCCAGCCATGTATTATGAACAAATAACACGGCAATGGAATATTTTTTGTTTCTGTTCATCCCGATTATGTTTCTCAGTTTGTCAGTACCATACCCAAGCTCCAAAGTGGTAAGTGTCCGAGACCTGCATCACTTCAGGCTTTCCTCCCACATCAAACTGACACATCATAATACAATTATAAAACTGTTCAAAGTGGCAATAAACTCACTCACTTACTATTTTGTTTCTGATCAACCAGGGCAGTTAAATGTAACCATTGTAACATATTATAATTGGTATGTTTCGCTTGGCTTGAACAGTACCTCTATGTACTACACACTAGCTACTCACCAACAGTAGATTACACAAAGCAGAGGTGACTGAGGTGACTGAGGGTTTGGCATTATTCCAACACTGGGATTCATTCCACTAAGGCGTGAGATATTGCATACTTGACAACTAATCTGATCAAATACATTCTTTCATCGCCATAAACAATATATAGGTCCTATAGCACTTGCTCCCATACTCAATACACATGCACACACCAACTGATTATAACATATCTTTATGATTTATCAATGAATGAATGATTGACCGTGCTTGTCAGCATGCAAAATTATTAAGAAATAATTCTTTTAAATGCAGAACTTAAAATTACTTGTATTTATTTTACTGAAGTTTGCATGTTTAAAAAAAATCTATATATCTAGTCATACCTCCAAAATAGTGACATCATAGAGGATAGTGTAATTTGACCTTTTTCAGAATTTCTTTTTCATATCAAATTTTAGAAATCCTAATTCCTACATGAACAAGTGTGACAATTGGAGATTACAGAGAAAATATGCAAAGTTTTGTGTCACTTGTCCAGATATGTGTGGGTTCTTGATGGACTCAGTTCTTTGTGTGCCAATATATGCAGTATATGACTGCTCGGACAATACAGGGTGGTAAGTTTCAGGGTGTTTTTTTTAAAAACAGTTTTCCTGTGAAGATTAAGATAAAATATGCATAGCTGGTCTTAGGATACAGAAAATGTGATAAATATCAGGTGGTAAAATCAACATGGGTAAATAACACACACCATGCATATCTGAACCATGATACATAATTTAAACTTAAGGGCGGGGGGGGATGTTGTTTTGTAACTTTAGAAAATTGTTTGGAATGACAGATAGACCACACTGTTCTCCATGTACATAAAACTTAGGACAGTCTTGTTTTTAGAATAGATATTACCTCAGTAGATACTGCAATATATTGGGAGCTAAGATGATTGACCAGTTATTCCCACTGATTGTGCATGCAGATCGTATTTTCTACATACTAAGGTCAATATTACAATGTCAAAGTCTGCATGGTCAGTCACCGCCACCGTCAGAGAAAAATCACTGCCGCGTTTCCACCCTTTTGTCCATCAATTTTGAATTGAAACCTAATTTGTGAATGAATTTCTGTGAAGATTTAGGTCAAACAATACAAATAATAATTAAACATGTTATATATATGTTACCCAACATACCAGATTACAGAATAAATATTGTGTACCACATGAAAAGCGTATTGCAGTATACCGTCAATATTACGCTGTTCTAGTAGATACGTAACCTTATATATAGTTATGTAAACATACCTGATCCTCCGAGTGAGTCATCTGACAGTTGGTCTTGACTGTCGGAATCACCAGCTTTAGGTCTTTGACAAGGTCGTTTGCTCCTGCGTCCATTGCCACTGGAAGCTCCCACGGAACCTCTGAGAGGAACACAAAATGTGTACACAATTAGTAAGAAGACGAAGTGTATGAGAGACAAGTACAGTCCCCAGAGAGACATGTCTCTACTGCAGGCTTCAACCTCACCGACACCACACCATGCAGCAGGAACTCTCACAGATGACTAGGAATTGTAGATTCATGTGACAGTGAGTGAAATATTGGTTTCCCTCCAACCAATAATCTGGAGGGTATGTTCCGTCCTCTAAGATGCCATATAGGTATGTCTTGAACTAAACAACCCACTAGATAAGCTGTTCCTTCCAAATCTGGGTGCCTGCCAAACTACTTGAGACGATCACACATTTTAAATCAATAAATGGATCACTAATCCATTTGGGTAGAGGCATGCAGAGTATAGGTGTTGGAAATCTGCTATCTATCAGAGTGGAAAAAAGTTCTCACAGCGACCTTGTAACATGATACACCTGCCGAGCAAACCGCTCAGGTGTGTCACTATCAGCAATGGGATCTGTCCAGGCCTATACATACCCTGGCATGTTAAATCAATATATACAATACAACCTTGGGGTTTGTCGTCTGATTGCCAAGTACCGGTAATAAGTAGCTAGCCTATAAGCAGAAAAACTAAAGACTTGTATATCAAACAGTCTGGGAATAGCCTTATTGTAAAATGTGGTTATTAACCTAGCTTGCAAAAACTCTCAAAATCTTATTAGCCTTCTCAAACACCACAATCACGGTAACTGACACCTAGTAAATAATCGTATTACACATCACTTACAAAGCTTACCGGTAGTATTCTTATGTTAATTCACTTTCTTATGCCCATTGACATTCACGCAAACTTTAGGTTCACATTATTTTGGTTTGGGAAAGGATTTTATGCATATGTTTCAATTTCTGTTATTTTTCAATGTAAAACACATATCTTAATTTTCTGTAGTTGAAGGCTTTGAAAAATGTAAATTTAATTCCTTATGTTGTTGAATACTTGCATAAATATAGCTCAGAGCATTAAGTGATTCCAGGCTACAATTCCAAATGTTCTTCATTATCTACCATGTCTACAATAGCAGAAGTTTAGCACCCATCACAATGGCAAAAATATACACACAATCATCACTTCATGGACTATATATAATAGAAAAAAGTGTTATGATTCAAATACATTTGCATGTAATTTCTGAGAGAATTCTTTAACATTTCTGAGATTATGAGAAATGTTAATTCAATGTAAATGAAGAATATACTTTCAATTCCTTCAGCCTCGTTAAGGTCAGGATTTGTTTCGTTACTTTGTTGTTTAACACCACAGTAACCAATACTCCTGGCCTGGAAACAATCAAATCAGGACGAGACAAAAAAAAACCAGGTGTGTAGTTTCAGGGACAGGAAGATATCATGCAAATGTTTAAACATCTATATAATAATAATAATAATAATAATAATAATAATAATTATAATAATAAGTTATATTGCAATACAATCCACTGTGCATGTTTAAAACAAATACCGGAATCATTCTGGGGGAGTGGCTGCAGGATCGTGTATAGGTACAATAAAACAGTTAAGTGTTCTGCAAGACTGGCTGTCGTTTAAACCATCAAGAACTTAACACAAACTGGTCACAGTGTACTTCCAATCCAAGATAAAGATCTTGATCTTAATCAAGACAACTCCTTAAGATCCAACAAGTACCAAGGCTCAGGACTGCACACAAAAGTGCACCAGTAACGGAATAAATGATACAACTAGGATCCTTAGAGTAATCAACTACTTGAGGGTCAAAAGTCATACATGGTTTATTATCAAAATATAAATCATATTGTTCATTCAGCACATTACAACTTCTGACTGCATAATAAACAAGAAAACAGTGTTATCACTATCCCCCACCATTTGTGCAAATTAGAATTTTGTTTGTTCTTACAGTGGTGAATATTAACTAGAAAAAATTGAATTGAAAGTATATTTTTTATTTACATTGAATTCACATTTATTGATAAGCATGGATGGCATTTAGCATATAATTAAGGAAAATGATATAAGACATCTTTGTCGATCTAATTTTTTAAATAATTTATATAAATACAAAGCTCTCAAGTGTAGTATATTCATGTCACAGGAGTTAAATAGTTTGCAAACATAATTCTACCTTAATAATATTTCTGTAATGAGGTAGGAAAACTCTCAAATGAATATATTTCTTACATACAAAGTAGATATAGTATTCATCTTCTAAATGAAGGTCACAGTCTTAACATACAGATTCTGTACGAGCCATACTTAACCTTTTATAAATAATGTTGGCTCGAAAGTTAAAAGGGATATTCGAAATTTACACATTGCTCTAACTAATTGTTTGTCAGTTTCAGTACAGTCAAGTACTGTTATACATAATTTGGGTTGCAGGAGAGAGTTTATATTAGCATAAAGCGCTAAAAAAGTAGATGACTCCTAACTGTGGTACCATGTTTGGAAATATATATCTCTAAAGCATATTCGATAAAAACAAAAAAAACAACATATTCTTATCACCTGCACCTTGGTATAACCACACATTAAACAAGAAAACAGCGCTATCACTATCCCCCTCAATGGGGAACATAAGAATTTTGTATGTTCATATAGACGTGAATATAAACTAGAATAAATGAGTCCTATAATGCCTTAAGTAGAGATAGGCATTAGAGTCACTTTATGTCATCAGAAAAAAAATGATTAAATGTGAAATTAATACACACAAAAGGCCCCTTCCCTAGAAAAAATAACTTATGCCCCAATTCTCACACTCAAACTTGATAAGTATCTCTTAGATAATCTAACTTCAGTAGTTTCTGAGAAAACTTGTCCCAATTGCAGACAATATGAACTTTGTAAAATAACATGGAATAAGAGCCATAAATGTGTATGCTCAAAAATAAAAAAAAACATGTAGCCATGGAAGTAACTCTGGGGAAAATAATTTACAGGCCCAATTTTCTAACACAGTTTTGACACGTATCTTATAGATAAGAATGCAAAGTTTCATTCATGTAACGTCAGTAGTTTCTGAGAAAACTTGTCACCATTGCAGACACTATGCAGTAAGTTGAAAAGCATGGAGCAAAGGCCTAACTCTGTAAGTTAGAATTAAAGACACAAATTTTAGTACTCATTTCAGATCATGACTAGTAATATCAGTGTATCAAATTTCATTTCTCTTATTGAAATGGTTTTTGAAAGAATTTGTTGCCTTTGAGAAGCGGACGGACCGATGAACTCAGCGGGGGATAATTACACATACCCGGTACTGACTGTATAATAAATGTGTGCACACACAAATTGGATTTTGAGGCCCTGAGATCTTCTCTATTGTACTTTGCTTGGAAATGTGAACATTTAACATGCATGTCTAATGCTGCCAGTTCCACATTACACACATGATATAAAAATGTAACATGTCTGAAATTCAATATCAAATACCACACTGACAAAACAATAACATTAATGAAGCTGAAAGTGTTATTACTAATTGAAGGTGATCTACAGCCTCTGACATACGACAGCTATCTAATACAACACCATGTACCCACCGTTGTAGGTGCTGTAAAGCTTTCTGGAGCTTCTCCAGCCTATCAGCATCAGTCATGGATTCTTCAGACAACTGACTATGGTCCTCCTCTGGTGCCACCTTCAGAGTATCCTCAGTATCCTTGACAACTCCACACCCAGTATCCAAGGGTGCCCCACTGTCCTCACCATCCACACCAAGTGCATCTGGAACACTGCCTAACCTCACTTGCTGTGGTCTTGCAACAGTGTCACCTTCTGGCATTGAACAATTGTCTTTAGGGTGATTATCATCATCCAGAGAATCTGAGAAACTATCTCCTTTATCACCATCAGTCTTGTCACTATCATCAACACACTCACTTGGAACACTGGTTTCTGGCATATGCTCCCCAGGCACTGCATTATCACATGTGTCTTCTATTCCTAAAGAGTTTTCTGCTGCATTATTGGGACTAGTATCACCTGGGTTGGAACACACACTTTCTATAATCTCAGGGCATGAGTCAAGTGATGAAACCATTGGCCCATGTCCATCAAGCACAGTAACATCTGTGCCTGTACTGTCACTGTGTTCCTCTGATGCATTATCAGCTAATGGGGAAGTGCTCCTGTAGGGCCTCACTGTATGATCGAGGTTATCATCCACACTCAATGTATTTCCAGACTCACTTTCAGTGTCATTGTTTGTAGTGTATCTGTTTCCATTACCAAGCTCAGCCAATATCTTATCTATCTCAATCCCAACTGGCATTGAGTTTGGTCGTTCCCATCTCCGTGACTTCTTCTTCCGCAAAACCACCTTACTTGTATCAATGGTAACATTAGGTGCAGAGCGCATTTGACTGTCTGCTGTTTCCGTTTCCTCACCCACTGCTTCCGGCACTTTAGGCAAACTTGATGCCCGTGAAACACAGCGTGATAAAGGTCTATTTCGTAATGGCAATGGGTCCAAGGGCCCTAAAGGAGTTTGCAATGCGGCATCTTCAGGATGCAGAAGGGAAGCAGTGTTCTTAACCTGATCTTGTCTGGGCACCTTACCACTTGGCTTGGGACACTTAGCATGCTTCTGCTTAAGAGGTTCTGAACCTGCATGAGAATGTTTATGTGGTTGGGGTGGGGATGAGCTGGCTCGTTGTCCATTACCTTTCTTTAAGAACTGATGTTTCTCATGCGGTTCAGTCTTTGATCTCTTTGTTCTTCTAGGGCTGGAAGTAGGAGAACGAGACAAACGTACACCATGGCCTTTCTGCAGAAACTGATGTTTTGGCACAGTGTCCTTACTTGAGTGGTCTAGTCGCTCTGTTGACTGTGAGGGTGAAGATAATGGAGAAGACGATCGATCTCCCTTCTTCAAAAAGTCAAATTTTTTATGGGGTTGGGGTGTATATAATCTATTCACAATAGAGCGGACATTGTTAGACAAGCCCTTCTTTTTACTATTAGATCTTGCCAGGCCAGACACATTTTCAGAAGAAGCAGAAGTCTGAGAATTCAAGGATTCCTGGCTGCCTGTAGGTGTAGCACTCTGAGAATCTGATGGCTTTTGCAATAAATACTTTTTCTTAATTTGGGGCTTTTCTGACAGTGACCACAGGCTTGTGCTTCTTGAAGACGGCTCAGTAGAGGACGACTGATGAGAGATGGGTAATTTCTCAAGACTAATTCCAACCTTGAGAGTTTTCGGAGTGTCTGACTTGACATGCATAAGGTCCTTCTTTTCCTGAATAAAAAATTGCAGCTGCTCTTTCTCAGTCTCCAGTTTCCTGACCTCCATATCCTTGTTGACAATGTCCTTGTAATGGTCAACATCCTTTATGATGTGTTCCTCTTGCTGCTCCACCTCCTGCTGCTTGTGGTTAAGCTCAGACAGTAACTTGTCATGCCTGGCCTTCAGCTCCTCTGTTTGGGTCTCAAGCTCTTTCAGCTTTTGACGTTGATCTATTTCGGTCAAAAGCTCCTTCTCAACCAAATATTTTAATTGTCCTTCTACAGATTTCTTATGGTGTTTAATCTCTTTACCATCTTCTCCTTTCACTGGCAAGTCTTCACTGCTGTCTGATCCAGTTGAGGCATCGGTGGCGTGTTTGTCTTTTCCTTCCAACACAATCTTTAGTTCATCTTGAAGTCTTTCCTCAACTGGAAAACAAAATATGATTTAATGACATACGATATACACCCTTGCATGGATTAAATGATAAAGTATAGAAGTGTGTGATATTATCAGTATACCACGATATGAAATACTAATAAATACATATCATAACCCATAAATGTTAAAAGTGTTAACCTAAAATGGTGAGTAGGATCCCAGGTCCTCCCTTGGAATATTTTGTTATTTTGTATGTTGAGTATACATTAGTTCAAGGTAACAATGATTTCATTTCTGATCCTCAGGTATATGAGATTACATGTTTACTATATTTCAATATTAATAACAAGGCAAACACTGAATCACTATTGCATAGTAATGATGCCAGGTGTTTGCAAAAAGGTGAGCATAGCCCAAAGCACTGGTGGCACCTGTCACAAACACATGCAAAGGTAAATCAAGTATTTACTTGAAAAAGCATGGTAACATATGGTACAAGTCATTTTGGTCACTCAGCCATCAAAAGGATGCTTTCTTTAAATTTACTTTTGAAAAATCTAAGAAAAAGATCATTATTATTTGATATCATTTACAAAGTTGAACAGACTTTGAAGTGTCAGACATCAGGTATAATAGTTTGATGGAAGAAGAAGGAAGGATGGATGTATGGTAATGATCAACAGATGATGGGAGGAGATTCTGAAAATGCAGTATCACCAGATTTACGGACGTATTTGAAGGTGAGAGGTAAAAAAAGGGCAAAAAAAACCCAAATCAAACATATGTAACATTATTTTTGCCCACTCAACATACCTACTGCCTAACAAATTCCATAAAGTTAATTGCAAAGACAACTACTTAAGAAAAAAAAATAGGAAGAAAATAATACGGCTTCCATAGTGGCAATATTTAAAAGCAGATCTAAAACATTATAGAAACAACATTTCTTGGATCTTCTATCCCACTGTTGTTACCTCCACATGTGTATTGTATCAGAGATGTAAAATGACTTAAGTATAATTATATGGCCACTCACAAAACATGATTAAAGAAGCTCACATGAATCTAAACAGTTAAACTGAATCCATCCAGAAGGCTGGGGAAGATGATTAAGAAGAAATGCCATATGACTTAGTTAATATATCAGATATACCATACAGAGTAAGTGAGCGGATGAATAAATGTTTTATACAACACTTAGTAGTATTGCAGAAAGGTCAAGAACCCATGTATTGTACCAAACCCAAGTCTTCACTACCAAACCAACACTACCATGCCGACCTGTATCAGTCCAAACAACCGCAGTCTTCACGACAACACCACCACCACCATGCCGACCTGTATCAGTCTAAACAACCGGAGTCTTCACGACCACTACACCGCTACCATGCAGACCTGTATAAGTCTAAACAACCGGAGTCTTCACGACCACTACAGCGCTACCATGCCGACCTGTATCAGTCTAAACAACCAGAGTCTTCACGACCACTACACCACTAACATGCCGACCTGTATCAGTCCAAACAACCGGAGTCTTCACGACCACACCACCACCACAATGCCGACCTGTATCAGTCTAAACAACCCGAGTCTTCACGACCACACCACCACCACCACCACCATGTATCAGTCTAAACAACCGGAGTCTTCACGACCACTACACCACTACCATGCCGACCGGTATCAGTCCAAACAACCTGAGTCTTCACGACCACACCACCGCTACCATGCCGACCTGTATCAGTCCAAACACTTAGAGCTCATGATATCAGTGAAAAGTTTCCCGGAGTCAGTGAACGTTGAATAACACCACAGTCAGCAATGTTCAAGATACTGGTATGTCAAAGTGACTATAAATAATTGAGAGCCTGACGACCTCATTTTAGTGTTAGATAAGCACACCTTACTTGGGACTGACTGTGACCAGAATTTCCACTGAGGTTTAATGATGATATAAGCACAGTAACTTTTCACATATTGGAAGATAAAGTGCAGATTTATTTGATTGTTTGGTAGAACAAACATAAACAAATAAACAAAACAAAATTAAATATTACATATTGACTGAAATTCTTATTGAATTTAGGGACTGAGCATTTCTTATTCTGATGGGGTGGGGTTTAGTGTAATGGGGTGGCCTGGGACATTATTGTCAGTTATGTTTCAGATTGTTGATAAGAAATTGTCTCCCACAAAAGATACATTGTTATATATATCAAATGGTCTGTCCCTTGTCAGGGTGGCTGAACTCACGATCTCTCTTCTGCTGACGTATGTTGTGGAGGTCTTCCTGGACTCGAGACTTCTCCTGGTCCCAGTCCTTCTGCTTCTGCTTCATCTGCTCCTCAAGCTCCTCCTTCTCTCGCTTCATCTCGGCCATCTTCTCATAACGGGCTGTCAAAAACTGTTCCTCAGACTCCTCATTTGCTGCCTTCTGTCTTTCAAGTGTCGTCGTCAGCTTCTCCAGTTCTTTCCTGAAGGAAGACAAATGTACACACCTCATGGCCACATTGTTTGACATAACATAGGTTAATACTTACTATTGTAACACACTATATTGTAACATCAGAAATGCACCAAATGTGAAATCAAGAAAACCACTCTCCTGCACAAAGGGGCACTCTAAAATTTGTAATACCCTTTTAACAAATACTAAAACATCAAAAGGCACCAGATCAGCATGTGTTTGATACATACCAAAGTAGGCAAAGTTTCATAATAAAATATTTTAATGGTTACCGAGTTATGCTCCGGAAACAAAATGTGGCGGACAGCACCCATTTCTAAAACATCCTCCCAATTCATGGTGGGGGGTAACAACTGCTTAGGATGGTGATACCTTCTGTAGTAATTTATTCCTCCTATATGATCTCTGATAAAGGTTTAACATTACTCTCATACATATGATCAATCTTATAGAAATCACATTGACACTTCGGACATTTTATTACTTTTCTGCCACAGTCAGCAATATTCCAGCTATATGATGGTGGCCTGTAAATATCTGAATCTGGGCCAAGCAAACCAATAGTTGACAGCATGAGCCAAGATCCATGCTGTTGGAGAATAATGACACACAATCGCACATTCTGGCAGCCTTACAACAAGCAATTAGTGCTGGGGACTTATTAAGAGCTGGAATCCCCAAAAGGTACTCTTCTGATGTCTTAAACTTAGTAACTTAAACTGCAAGAATACTGAGAGGGAATTATAACACAATCTTGATGGTGATGAGTTACTCTATCCCTGCAGCACAGATAGATCAGTATCAAACAAGCACCTGCTTGGTCTGAAACCTACAGGGTAACATGTTTCATTAACAATCTATAATACCCTCTATTTTCTCTAGCAACCATTACTCTCAACCAAAACACAAGCATTTGTATCAGAAACATAGACACAATAATTGTCAGTTTGACAACCTTATCTCCATAGCTGCAAACGAATTGTCACCTCAGTGTCCTGCAGGTGCTTTGTGTGCGTACACCGACACACATCTAGATCAATACCATGTGCAGTCAGTCTTCCATGCACGCACCTTCCACTGTTTGTCCACATTGATCCTGCTACATGGCAACACTTGCAACACATCATCAAAGACACTCAGTTCTTTCACACCACTGTCTCGTTATTTACCTCACATTGCTCACTGATTTCTTATATCAAATAGACCATCTAGGCTCCATTGAATGTTCTGGACTATTTGCAATATTATAGATCTAATTTTTCAATTGAAGTTTTACACAACATCCTTAATGCATGTTGAAGTACTCCTTGACACAGCAGTAGTTGAACTAAATATAATTTTAATAAAGGATCAAAATTAGTTTTGAATTTTGTGATCCATTTACAAAATTCAATTGCTGGAATCTTCCATGCAAGTGCATTAATTCTAGATGTATCAATTAATACCAGGCTATCAATCAAGTAAACCAAGAAATGTACCACACATTATTGTACATTCCCATTACTTACAGCAAAACACAGTTGTTTCAGAGTAGATGTCTAACATGCAATAAATGCTATTTTTTATGGTAAAAAGATAAGCCCCCAAATGAGTTCCAGCGAAACTCATAAGACCGAGGCCCTTTTGTCTGGAGACCCTGCCTTCTAGAGAATTTGTGTAGGAAATGTCTATGCACAACGAATGGACTTTGTGCCCATGTCACCCTAATTATGTTTCTACGTTTGTCAACAACATACCCGTCATACCCGTGCTCGTGGGTTTCACCGAAGTGGTAAACATCTGAGACCCGCATCACTTCAGGCTTTCCTCCCACATCAAGCTGCCACATCATAATACAACTATAAAACTGTTCAAAGTGGCAATAAACTCACTCCCCTACTATTTTGTTTCTGATCAACTGGGGGAGTTAAATGTAACGCCATGATACACCATGTTATAACTAAAATACTGTTAAAAGTGGCGTTAAATCCAACTAACCCACTCACTCTATGGTACTGATTATACGCATGATTTGTTAATTTGGAAAGGATTGCAAACGGTCCCAACATATTAATGGGACCAACACCCCAGACAATGGATAAACACCCCCTGAAACACTTTCAGATCAGATGAGCTTATGATGGAGCATTCTTACTGAATCTCGTATGGTATTAGAAGAGATTTCAATGTAAAGCACATTATCACTGCATATTCCCAATGAGACATGCAGAAAATGGAATTCTAAATGCATGTGCTTGGATTAGCAAAATATTCCAGTTTCCTACTGCCAGATGGATGGTAGACAACCGGACGTTCAGTTGAGCTATTAAGGAGATATTTGCTTTATTTATTAATGTCACCTAATCCACCGGTAGAGTATTCAGACGGGAGGTAGATCCTTCTCTGAATAGGACACATATATACCCATATGCCCCTGCAATTAATGACAAAGACATTAGGAAAATACATGTATGTCTCTTTTCACTCAAATATATCCAACGCCTATTATCAGTTAGACTCATACATATTTTGAGTAAATAAAGTGCGGGACTGCACCGGTGGTATACTCGTTAGTGTAGCTAGAATTACTAGTTTCGTCGAGTTTCTACTCATCAGACTGATTACCAGCTGTTGTGTTAACCTTTTTATTTTGTCCACCATAAGAGAGACAAACCAGTCTCCTTACACTTCAATTCCAAAGAACAATGTTGAATACAACCCAAAAATAACCCTGAGATTGTAGAAACCACCACCAAGAGAAGAGCTCTTGAACTTAAGTGGATCTTTAAACTCCAAAGTTTCCAATCACGCGGTCTCAATGATAAACTTGTAGGCTGAGTATCTATTCAGTTTTGCCTTTCTCATACATATTTTGGTCTATGTCTTACCATACAGTGAACGTGGACCCTCAATCTCTACTAGTTATTGCAGCAAACAGTGGTGAAATAGTCCAGCAATAACCACACTAGCCATGCTATCTGATACAGCCACTTTTGGGTTCAACATTTACAGCTTTAGGACTCAATGATATATAGTTGTCAAAGTGCATGAATATCTTTACGGCAATCTACACTGCACAAAGCTGTCATTACTGACAACTCTGTCATTCAAACCATTATTACTAGCAATGTAAACACTAAAGCCGTGTATGAAAGACTATTAGTGCCCCTCTCTGCCAGCTGACCAGGTTTGTTCACAATGTGGTAGCTCTCAGCTATACCACGAAAGTCAAAATAGGCTGGACAACTGCCAAGTTCTTTGTTCTCATTTCACAGAAGAATATAGAAACAGTTTATCAGGCTCCTTGGGTTTTCCTTGTGCCGGGCCACATGACAGGTGTTTACAGATCAAGGACTACTTGAACTGCTTCTCTTGCGGAGCTATTCACAGATAACACACCTGAGGTCACACCAATCTCCAAACATCACATTTCATATACATTCAACTGTGTTCTTTCAAACATGGACAAGCTTTACCCTCTTTGCTCGACAATTAAATGATCGTAGAATTGAACGACATTATTAGGTCATATTCATATGAGGAAATTCTGTATCATCTTTGGCCGTCTGAGTTTTTCCTTATGTAATAGGAAATTCAATAAGGGCAAATGTGACAGACTGAATTATGGTGAAAATTACCGTGGAAACCTGATGTTATATCATATCATATGTTATATTGTAATAAGTTTGGGGCATTTGGGTTGTGAGTGGTGGGAATAGTTCATAAATGCTGAATCATTTGAGTTACTTCAGTGGTTTTATTTGTAGATGTTATGTTTCATCAAGGTAATTGGGTAGAGGTCAATAGTTCAATACCGGTAGTATTTGGTTAATGTTTTTTTGTGACTCTAACATAAGTTCTGATAATGGCTGGAATAGTGGTTACAATGGAATTTAAGCTCAATGCGAAACATGGACAGGTATATCTCCTGCCTAACAGAGCATATATGTGTGCTTAACCATGTTATGTGACCACCTGTGCCACCTGTCTGACCATGCATGCCATATGCCGGCACTAAGACAGTTGGATCTGTTATGATAATACTCACAGTGTAAGCCTTGCTAGCTTGTGGAGCATGTACTAGCTGTCATTTCAAACATGATCATGGTTATATTTGTATTGCAATGACTGTACCATGCTTAACAATCACTTACATGAACGCCAATGTGTCACACCCCTCACACAGAATGAGGTAAGGCCATCAGTGAGAGTTCACATCTCCCCAGGGTGGCGGCGGTGCACATACCATGCTGGTGTGTACTGTCTCCAAGACACTACACAGACACATGTCACACTACTCAACAACGTCAATACCATGCCACAATGCAGGTCAGAGCATGCACTGTGGTTGAGACCGTCATCTAAACAGGTAGTGACGAAGGACAATGTTTCACTGTGTCCACAACAGCCTTGCTACCCAGAAGCATAATTATTGACAGATACGATGTATTATTAGGCCTCCACCTAGACCAACCTGGTGTTCAGCACCAACCAGGAAATAGTTCTATCAAATATTTTCCGACGGTGCAAACAGCCTCTTTGGCTCACAAACAACTTTCTCTGCTCACAATCAGTGTTTTCATTTCATGTACATTGTATAAACAACATAGCTTACTCAATGCATTATTTTCGGGGCACTTCAAACAGTTATTCCCCTGTTGTGGTATTACAAATTAGCAATCAAATGCTTAAAAATATACACATTTTTTATATATATATATTCAATCAAATACTCACTTCACATTGTATTTCATAAGGAGGCATTTATTCCAACTTGCATAAGCATTTTTGTTAAATTATTTTCTCTAAGTCAATCATCTTGAGCTGCTGGAGTTGGTGCTGAGCTTTCCTTAAGCTAGGTGGCGCCACAATGGTTGCTTGGCAAGTAACCAGGATGCTGAGTTAACGCCACAGATGTACAATTAAATAAGTAGGCAGAGTGCAGAGAAGTATTACAAAGCTTGCAGTGGTAGGCACCTCAGGTTATTTTGTGCTCAAGGATGCATGGTTGTGATGACTGGATATAGGGGAGTACCTCCTTAAAATGGTTGCTTATCTCAAACACAGCTGAACTGGTTGGGCTTTACCCACTGTCATGTCATGTTCTGAGAATCCTGCCCTACAATTGGTGGTACTCACTGTGCCTGATCCACTTGCTCCTGCTCCGTGTGGCATGTCCGCTCCACCTCCACGCTTCAACATACAATCAATGGCATTACACATCTACCCATACATACTCGCCTCACATAGACCATGTTTTCAGAAACAGATCCATGGATGCGAGGAATCCCTAACATTTAAATGACGGATTAAGTCAACATATTGATCTTTCCTTTCTGCATAGGTTGTATAAGACTCATTGGCGACCAAGGCCAACATTCTACCACAATCAAAACACTTACTAGCACACTTACTGCTCATTGGTATAACCTACCATTGTATCATTTATTTATAATGCTTTCTCTTTTCATGTTTTTTAATATACCATCATATCAGCATCAAGAGTACATATGATATGAACATATGTGTACATTGTATTAGGTAAATATTCTTCCATCTCACAGTTCCCATGTTTCTGTTTGAAACACAATAACCCTAACATCGTCTATATGTTTATTCCTTTAATAAAATATAAAAAAATATCAACACTTAAAAAAGAAATAATGTTAATCAACTACTAAATATTTATTCCTTAGGCCATGCCATAAGAAATATTAACGTTTAAAAGATATAACATGACATCAATGTCTAAATATTTATTTATTACACTATGTCATAAAAAAATTAACACTTAAAAGGAAATAATGTCACATATTGCTTTAAGTACATCACATAAAATGTATCTGTCTACTGGGTACTGACTAGATCCAAATGTGTGCTAGTGAAGTACAAGATTTTTGGACAACACTACTTCTCGATGATGTGATTACTACCACAGCCACGACTCAGTTATACACATCACTTCTCATGTACAACCAGCATCTCATCAGTTACAAAAATAACATTATGGTATTTGTAAAATCAAAAGCATTATCAGACATTTCAGTTTCTTCTCATCAATGACATAAGCTCTACCAGGCATATGTTTTATAAACTGTGGACTTCTACAATGGATCAGGTCCCCAACACACACCGGCCACTACCAGCATGATGTAGAAAGCACCAGGAGCACTCCACCCCCCCCCTCCCCAGAAGCAGCAAGCACATGTCAAACATACCATAATATCTGCAGATTCAAATATTATCATCTCACTAATAACTTATAAGTGATAAATATATAACAAGACAAATCACATACAGTAATTGTCATGTGTTAGTAGTACTCATTACAATCATTTCTAGTTGTTGACACTAAGATCTATATACTCTACTTACAGGTAGTCTGCAAATACAATAAAACTAACAAAAGTACACAAATTCGGGTCCAGAAGGGACCCACGCCTACTGAAAGAGGATTTTGATAAAAAAAAATTGGACCCCCCTCCCTTTTGAACATGCTGGATCTGCCCTTGGTACATACCATCCAGTTCCCCCTGCTGGTGCCTGGAGACATAAAGGAGTATCAGCATCTTGTCTGCTGATCTAGCCTCAAGTAGCACTTGGAGACATTGCCATGGAGTTTGGATGGTTCAACAACGTTTGTTGATGTATTTTATGCTAAAAGATGTAAGGCCAGTATTTGTTTGTATTTATGGCTAAAATATTTTTGTCCAAAAACTCAGGTTGGTTAGCTATAGAATACATTTTAAAACATCAATTTAATTATTTATTTTATACAAATTGAAGTAGGTTGGGGGGGTTGTGTGTGTGTGTGTTAAGATAATTAATTCAACTTATAGTTTTTTAAGTAATTTATTCATATTAACAGCGACATTAAATAGTTTTGTTTTTTTTACAGTTTACATATTTATGATCGGTGAAATAATAGACCCCACTGCTTGCCATTTTTTTCTTCTCCATATCCATTTTTGGGGAGTTGGCAGATTTGCATCCAAGCTTTAAAAAAGTATGGCTAAAATAAGAAATAAACGATGATTGGGAGTTGTTTATCATACCATAAACACTGCAGGGAGAATAAAACAATGAGGGGTAAATTCTCCCTGCAGTGAGTTTCTTATGAGATATCAACAGTATGTACAGCCTCTTTAATGCTGTTGATAAAATGTGCAAGCTTTAAAAATAGTTACCTTAATTTTAATAATGATGACTCCCTGAATAGAATCTGACCTCGGTAATGTCGGACAAGTCTATTTTATGAACAGGTAGGTTAAGTTTGGTATTTCCCGCATATTCTCACAATCCTCATGTCGATCATCTGTACCTTTTCTCCTAATACTGATTGTCATATGTCTCCCACTTTTGGAGGCAATCGTTTGGCCACTGCGTTTATCTGCGTACCCCAGCTTCATCTATGGGGAACAACTCACTATACACTTCCCTCTAACAAATAATGTCGTCCAACATATGACGTAATCAAGCTGCGAGCGCATATTCAAATCTCTTGAAATGACGCCATGATAGAACAATGTTAAATTGTGAAAATAGATGCTTCGTTCTTCATTGTTCTTTGCAATTTATCACGTATCTATCTTATATTAGTGATTAATTCTGTTTTGAGTGGGCTCAAAAGTGATGTGAAATCAGCATCTATCTTACATTGATTGTACTTAAACATAGTCTTAATAGTCTTACTCTAGTACATAACACATGTAAGAGTTTAATCCTTGACAATATCAGCTGTGACATCACAAAAATAGAATGTCCCCACCTTGTAAGAAAAAGCTTCAGGGAAACATGTTTTAAAGTGATTGGTAGTCTAACGTAGATTAGCTAGGGGTAGAGTGGGATATATAAAGCTGACACTATTGCTCAGGTCTGTTGATAACCAGTGATATAATATCACCTATGGGAGTCAGGATTGGATAATAAATTCATATCTACCGGGTACAAGGACCATCAGTCACACAATCCCCACACATTGTGTACAGTATGGTGATCATAACAACAAGCCAGTCAGACTCATCATCTGCGTATACGTAATGTGGTCACTAGGTAGTGGTGTTAATTCTACAGGAACAACCTACGTTCAAAATAAAATACTTCACTGACAGCAATATTCAGTGAGTGAGTGAGTATGGTTTTTGCCGCTTTTAGCAATATTCTAGCAGTATTCCAGCAATATCACGGCGGGTGACACCAGAAATTGGCTTCACACATTTTACCCATGTGGGGAATCGAACCCGGGTCTTCGGTGTGATGAGCAAACACTTTAAACACTAGGCTACCCCAGCGCCACTGGCAGCAATGTTCAGCACTAAAAATTAGTTCAAGTAACTATGAAAGTAGTTTTATTGGAAAAAATATGGGTGCACAAAATAGAAAATATTTAACACACAGATCTAAATACAGATCTTCACTTCAGGCTACTTGAGTTAGGAGTGAATTATCATGTGAAGCTCAAAAACAAGACATGCACTGTAAAAGCAAATCCTACCCAGCTACAGCTACTCCCATGTCCCCAGCAGAGGTGCAGTTACAGCTACAGGTGCTCTAAGCTAAGTGCCGCAGGCCAGCCCTCGACACAGGAGGCATGCATGCACCTCACACAGCCAGTTGTTAAAGGTGTGACAGACCACTTCAAACTCTGGTATCACCTACCAGGCCATGCACACTCACAGGTTACAAGCAGCTCAACACAGACCTCGGGAACACAATCATTTACACTGTTGTCAGCATGCAACACTACAGGTGACAGTTAGAGCTATCAAACAGGCTGAGGTGATGACTGCAGAACCACATGGCAACACTTCCACACCTTGAATATATGGCAGCCATGTACTGAAGTGACTATGGGGGCAGTGGGGAAGTGCTGCCATGGAGGTGGAGGTCATCACAGCGAAGGCAACTAGGTGGAGCACACTGGACCATCTCCCACTGTCAAACTTACCATTTCTCAGCGGAGGGAAGACTGACCAGGCAAATACAAAGTGCATTCATTAGTTACACGGGAGTGGTTCATGCATTATCTCATGCACAGGCCATGCCTAGCTCATTCCTCATCACTTGGGCTTTAAATAATATATGAAAAATAATATATATGATGGCGCCAAGGTTTTATTTTTTCCAAATAATAAGCAGTGTGAGAACATTGAGTCATTGTGGGTAGTGCAAGAGTCACATGTCCATACTCAATTGTAAACATATTATTGTCGAGTACCCTAATGTTGAATGTCAATCGAAACATTTTGAGCGAGCTACCTGCCAATATTCTAGCTCATTCCTCATCACTTGGGCTTTAAATAATATATAAAACATAATATATATGATGGCGCCAAGGCTTTATTTTTTCTAAATAATAAGCAGTGTTTAATTCATTGTGGGTAGTGCACGAGTCACATTTCCATACTTGATCGGAACATATTATTGTTGAATGCCCTAATGTCAATAGAAAATATTTTGAGTGAGTGACTTGCTAATATTCTATTGTTGACTGATAAAATTGGATAACTAGATATATCTTTAGCAGCTCAAAGGACTTGAGTTAACAATGTTTCACCGCAGTGGGCCATTGAGATAGGTGAGCTACAACCAACGATGTGGACTGTTACCTGTTCATGACACACTGACATGTCACAGGACTCTATGCTATCTATCAGCCTCACACAGCCTTCCACTCTCAGCTGTGAATGCCCGAGTGACTTGCTTAGCACAGTTGCTAGTACGAAACACAGTGTATGTCTGTTATCAAGGGGGCTTAGGGACCAAGGTTCTAATTACCGGGATACAAGAAATGTGCATGAGGCAACAAAAATGGCAGACACTTCGAGGGATACAGAAAACTCTCCACTTCGAATTCATAAAAGAAGTACATATACCTTGCTCTGAAGATTCTTTTTTTACTCAAAAGGATATGGGAATATGAAGTGAACAAATGGTGTAAAAAAAAGAGACAGAGGTAAGCAGAGAGAACCATATTGTTGTTTTCTCAAGCAGAATGGAAAAGACAGAATAATTGCAGAGTGTCAAAAACAGCCATGACAGTTCCCTTAACAGCTGCCACTAGGTGTTCCAGCTATATTACCATTTTTGCAACATGTTCATAATTCATTTTGTCAAAATAACCTCTATTCTACACATTTGAAACATACAGCCTAGACAAAACATCAACTGCATAATTTACCTGAACATTCCACTATGCACATGATAAAGAAACAAGTTTGCATATATATCATAGTAAACTAACAGATTTACAGAAAAGAGCTGTCTACCATTTCGCCATTGGTTTACATCTACCCATGTCTATATGAATGAACTGATAATATATATCTTGTATATCTAAAGTCTGTAGTGTAGGCTGGTGGTGCTTGCCACTGGTTATAAACATGCATGAACAGACAATGCCTTTTAGAAAGTGGTCAAATGCAACATATGTTACAGAATACACTTTCGTTAAAAGTAAAGTAATAATTCTAGGACTTCTATAGGTGGAGTCCCACTCGGGACTCAAACCCACACTCTCAGAGTAAGACACACTAAGCCAGTGACCTAACCAACTCAGCCACGGAGGCTTCCAAAGTATGTGATCTAGACTACAAGTTGTTGGACTTCCATTTTGTGGAAGCCTCAGTGGCTGAGTAGGTGAGGTCGCTGACTTAATGTGCTGGCGATTAGGTGCCTCACTCTGAGAAGTGTGGGTTCAAGTCCTGGATGGGTTCCCCCCAAAATGTACTTGAATTTGTACTTCACTAGGAAAGTATAATCCCCAATATAACATAAGGTATACAAACATGCAGACTAACATTCCCATCTCAGGGTAGCACAGACACCCTGCTGAAGCAGCACTACCACCTGCGTCATAGTGGGAACATGTTCCACCACCTGAGACTGTGACGGCAACACCACAGCACTACTACATCACTGGCTACTACAACAGTACACGGCCAGTCTCCAGCTGACTAAGCAACACCCTCACTGGCAGCACTGCACGCCACTGCAGTACAGGAGACATGACAGACAACACTCTGGACAAGTCGGTGCTCACCTTGGTCGGTACCACAGATGCTGCATTGCTGACTGATGATCAGGAACACTGTCCATGCTACCTTCCTGTAACGAGAAACACAAACAGATCTCACTACAGATGGCAAATGATACAGTTTCAGACACTGCAAGCTTCATGTGGGAAGTCAATACTTGATCCACGAGCTTGGTCATAAAGAATGTTTGCACTCAAAGTACAGTGAGGCCTTATTTCTATTTTAGTCGACCAAATGACATAAAAAAACTGAATTTAGAAAAAGAGAAAAAAGAATTTTGATAATTTTCTTTTTGGCCAATCTCATTAAAATCAGATCTTAGCTCTTCCACCCGTTAAAAAAAGATCTGAGGACATCCCATTAGGGGTCACGTCAGAACGACCTTTCATCTGACCAATCAGAGCGTCATTTACCAGATCATGAAAGTGACAGTCGGGATGTGAATTCTAATTATGCAACCTTGAAAACTTTAACATGGGGTATTCCAAACGGTAGTTATGGGTTTAATGACTGTATCCATACAATCTAGACCACATATTAGCAATTCCAGAATTTTCTCTTGATCAGGTTTCAAATTTTTAATCGAGAATTTGTCAAAATATGTTTCGAAGCATAGTCGCCAATTTGAAATTAGTGCTGTAAAGCCTGAGAAAGCTGACTTCTGATTGGCTAATATCGACTTCTTGTCAGTCTTTCATTGGTCGGTCAAAGTTCGCACAAGGTCGGTCTGACGTGACCCGTAATGGGGTGTTCTCCGATCTTTGTTTAGCGGTAGCAAGAACTAAGATCTGATTTTAATGAGATTGCTTTTTGGCCGACTCTGTTTTACAATCAGTTGAACAAAAAACAATGTCTTATCAGAGCTGTTCATAAAAAATGGCGAATAATATGTAGACAAATCTTTATTCTAACAAACAAAGAAAGAAAAATCTTTCAGGGATCTTTTGGTATTGTGATGGTGTGACCTACAAGTTTGTTTTTCATTCATTAGTAGCAGTACTAATCTGGAAGTTGATTAAAAAACAAATCTTTTGACCACTTTATTGAATTTTAGGCGAAACATTTTGTAAATCTACTAATAAAATATAAAAGGTCTGACCTCCTCACACATGTTCACATGATACGTACATTCATACTGGCTGCCTGAATCGGGTTGATGTAACGGAACATCTGTGTCCTGCCCAAGAACACAATGTCACCTGGAAAGACAAAGTAACATTCAACAATTAGGATAAACGTCATAAACCATGCTTGTAGCTGATATTCCTGAACTTAAGATATGTCTGTCATGTGATAACACTAAATGTGAAAATTGAAAATGAGTAAATATATCAAAATACAGAAAATACGTGTATGAGAGTCCTTGTTTTTCGAATATTGACCCAAAGGTATCATTTTAAATTCACTTGTTAAAGTTTATGATGCCTTTAAACCATCTTGTTTCAATAAATGTTACGACCAGACGCCATCTTGTTTCCTAGCAGATGAGTCAATATTCATCATGTGACAGGTCAGTGAGTGAGTATGGTTTTACGCCACTTTTAGCAATACTCCAGCAATATCACGATGGGGGAAACCAGAAATGGGCTTCAAACACTGTATCCATGTCGGGAATTGAACCCGGGTCTTCAGCATGACGAGCGAATGCTTTAACCACAAGGCTACCCGACCACCCCTGTGACAGGTCAATATTGATCAATATTCAAGGTCAGTGTCAGTCACGTGGTTTGGGGGTCTACATTAAAATGTGGTATGACTAAACAATAGAATTGCAAAATTCTTAATAGAAGTATAACAAAGTATAATACTGACCCTGTGCTAGCACCTTTGAGGCAACAGCTTCAATTCCATTAACAGTTAAAAATGCACCATGACGAGGTATGATGGTCACCGTCCCTTTCCAGTTCTTAAGAACACAGTGCTCAGCCTTGATGTCAGGTCCATTAAGAACTGCAACATAATCACTGATATGTAGGCATGGAACTTTACTTCATCAATCTAACGTTACAGATAATAGCTTTCTTCATATATTATCTGCCAAGAACTTTTTAGCAGTTAAACTAGTTAATAATTAAACAATATTGAACAACTAGGCATGATATAAGTTCTTGACCATATTGCATACTTACTGCATATCATTACTTATAGAACATTTGCCCAAACAAATTCAATGTGGCTGCATTGATGGCTGTTTTAAACCAGATATTAATTAATAAATTCTGAGAAAACTATTTAAAGACACTATGCACATGATAGAGTGAATGTTACTGGATAATATAGACAGTTGTATAAGGTCAGACCCCCCCCGTGTAGGGTGTGATGACACACAGCTGAGACTCCCTGGCGGTCGCCCATCCTCAACTATTCATGCAGCAGCCAAGGCTGTGGCTTATGGTCAACTTAAAGTGACAGTACATGGTTCTCTAGTCTGCTCTTATGGTCAACTTAAAGTGACAGTACATGGTTCTCTAGTCTGCTCTTATGGTCAACTTAAAGTGACAAATGACAGTACATGGTTCTCTAGTCTGCTCTTATGGTCAACTTAAAGTGACAGTACATGGTTCTCTAGTCTGCTCTTATGGTCAACTTAAAGTGACAGTACATGGTTCTCTAGTCTGCTCTTATGGTCAACTTAAAGTGACAGTACATGGTTCTCTAGTCTGCTCTTATGGTCAACTTAAAGTGACAGTACATGGTTCTCTAGTCTGCTCTAATGGTCAACTTAAAGTGACAGTACATGGTTCTCTAGTCTGCTCTTATGGTCAACTTAAAGTGACAAGTGACAGTACATGGAACTCTTTTCTGCTATAATGGCCAACTTAAAGTATCTGGGACTGGGAACTCTATTCTGCTCTGATGGCTAACTTAAAGTATCTGGCACTGGGATCTCTATTCTGCTCTGATGGCCAACTTAAAGTATCTGGCACTGGGAGCTCTATTCTGCTCTAATGGCTAACTTAAAGTATCTGGCACTGGGAACTCTATTCTGGTCTGATGGCCAACTTAAAGTATCTGGCACTAGGAACTCTTTTCTGCTCTGATGGCCAACTTAAAATACCTGACACTGGGAACTCTATTCTGCTCTGTTGGCTAACTTAAAGTATCTGGCACTGGGAACTCTATTCTGCTCTGTTGGCTAACTTAAAGTATCTGGCACTGGGAACTCTATTCTGGTCTGATGGCCAACTTAAAGTATCTGGCACTAGGAACTCTTTTCTGCTCTGATGGCCAACTTAAAATACCTGACACTGGGAACTCTATTCTGCTCTGTTGGCTAACTTAAAATACCTGACACTGGGAACTCTATTCTGCTCTGTTGGCTAACTTTAAGTATCTGGCACTGGGAACTCTATTCTGCTCTGATTGCTAACTTAAAGTATCTGGCACTGGGAACTCTATTCTGCTCTGATGGCTAAGTTAAAGTATCTGGCACTGGGAGCTCTATTCTGCTCTGATGGCTAACTTAAAGTATCTGGCACTGGGAACTCTATTCTGCTTTGATGGCCAACTTAAGTATCTGGCACTGGGAACTCTATTCTGCTCTGATGGCCAACTTAAAGTATCTGGCACTGGGAACTCTATTCTGCTCTGATGGCCAACTTAAAGTATCTGGCACTGGGAACTCTATTCTGCTCTGATGGCCAACTTAAATTATCTGGCACTGGGAACCCTATTCTGCTCTGATTGCTAACTTAAAGTGACAGGTACTGAGAGTTATTTTCTGCCCCATTAGCTAACTCCTGTTTGCAGCAAATACACCAAATTTCACCTTAAAAAATGCATATTTGTTGAAGGACATATGTGTCACAAAATTGCAGTATCACTAGATTCAAGTTGGTAGATGTATGTTCAAAGGTTATAGAAGTACAACATAGAATATATAGCCAATCCATATCATTATACTAATATTTAGGCAGAGATGCTATAACATCTGTTCACACTTACCAATTGTCTCCTGATCTGTCAAGGAACATTTACTCCCAATGTGTGTACTTCCTTCCTGAAAGGGAGAAAGAGTCTGATCACCATGATTGCTTGTCTGAACTTTCATTGTCAGTTGAACAGTACAGAATTGCCACCTATGTGTGTGCTTGACCATAAGAAGTATTACCAGCCTTTCAAATTCACACTAGTCCTCTTGTCAAAGACTGCACAATTGTGCTGAGGAAGTAAGAATCCATTGATGCTAGTCCTCATTGACTGGTAGCATATGAGGGCTGTCATTCTGAACCTTCTATTTTGCTACAAATTGGAACTGAATAAAACTGACAGAAGTGTAATCATAGAAAACATTTTTGTTTTATTCAAGCAGGACTCTGAGGACCAATGTAATAAAGTTTACCAATCCTCTGGATTAGTGTGAAAAAACTGAATTTCTACAGCTGGTCTAACCTTAATGTTGTAGATCTTGATGCCTGTTCTGCGGATGTCGTAGTCTAAGCCAATGAAGTAGGGGACCTGGGAATCTATCTCCACCCCGGAGGAGCTGGCCCGGCGCCCCAAGCTGCTGATATTGATGTCAGTGTCCTGGAATACATAGAGTGAGGAGAAGCACTGTAGCTAGGTGATGACAGGTGCTTGCTTCTGTGTAGAGGTGTCAGCATAAGGAAGCCTATATTTTAGGTGTATGGTGGGTTGTCATGCTTTTTGTGGTTTGTGATATTTTTGAGTTTCAGTCAGGTGAGTTAAAAACACGTAACTAAATCGTTTGGTGACAAGTTCTAAAATACAAACATTGAACAGACTCATTATTGGCTATTAACGCAAATTGTTTTGTCTTATGTGCTTGGGATTATTGTATTGCAAGTACATCCCCCCGAAACCCCCCCCCCCACCACCACCACCACCCCTACCACACACACACCATTTCCAAAATGTTGTGCACCCCTCTTTACGTACCAAAACCACTATATCTGAGCCTGCTTGTTTGTGGTGTGGTGTGGTGTGGTGTGGTGTGGTGTGGTGTGGTGTGGTGTGGTGTGGTGTGGTGTGGTGTGGTGTGGTGTGGTGTGGTTTGTATGATGGGTGGTCTGTCGTGTGTTTTGACACTGTGTCCTCCATACAACCATGTTCAGTGTTCCACCACTCACCTGCATGATGGCGTGGGCTGTCTTCCACTTGTTCTGCACTTCCTCAGTCAACTTGTTTACCTGAACATACAGCAGGATATATGCACATATACAGTAGTAGTTCTCACTGTCTGACTGATGAGGGAATCAAAATATATCATTCACTTGGCTATATTCCAAAACTTAATATTTAATAAATAATGTTGATATGATTTACTTCTTAGTCATGTTAGACCAAGCTTTTAATACAATGGAGAATTTGGGTCTCGTTACATCGCAAGACAACCTCCCTAAGTTTAATAAACTGAGAAGAACTGCAAAAGACAACCCAGTACACTGTTAAGACTTGGTTAAAAAGACATAGCATGTGGGTATAACAATGGATCATCCAAAACCTACTTCCACAGAAGATATTGTTTGAGTGAGATCAAGCAATATATCCTAGGAGATATCAGTACAATGATACAGTACCATTGTGACATCATTGGTTACCATGACATCACAATCAAATGGCATCACTAATTTCTCTGTCACTGAAGTTGGTTAGCTGTACTTTTTACACAAACACTTAAAAACTTTGAAAAAGGATTTTGGATGTTTGCTGCTTACCAGGGATTGGTCCTGCTTAAGTCTGTCGGATAGAGTCGAGTCAACCTGCAAACAATCAGTAATACAAAAACTTCCTGAATCTAATAAAGCCAAGTCAATTATTTATAATTTCCTTGTTCACACAGAAAACCCTTTATTCCTAAGTCAAGTTTCATGCACGGAAGGTGCCACCATTGACAAATTCACTTTACAATAATATGACTAGTAAGTCATCAGCTAAAATCTAACACTTAAACAAGATCTTTAGTTAAACATAATCTGACCTTCAAGAAAAAGTGACCTGTTCAGCTTGTATGAAATGTAAGTAGTAGCTAGCAACTGAACATTTTACCGTCATTTGGACACACTCTTATAAAGATTAATCATGGCCTGTCTGAACACCACAAAACATGTTAAAATGGTTACATGGTTACTGCGACGGCCATAATATGAGTTGTAATGAATTTAGTAACAGATTCTGTGACGCAGCTGGTAAGATGGGCAGAACGATACACAACAGCTATACATCCAGCATCAAGCACACTTAAGAACTTTCTTCCTTTATACAACAATATTTAAGAAAGAAAGTGAGCCAGGAAAGAATGATGAAAGAAATACACTTATATAAAACCCTGGTAAGGGTTCATCAAATCCAATCTGTTACAGTAGGTGAGTTTGTCATTACACCAATAAGATGGTCACCTTTATTACTGTGGATGATTGTGTCAGCTAAACAAGACAGAGGCATAATACATCAATCCACATGAGCCATCCCTGTATATTACCAAATTCATGCACATCATATCTGTACAAAAATCATCATAAAATAAACCACGACCATCTACGAAGCTCAAATTATGATGCAGAAATAAAGAAGAAAGCTTTGTTAAATTCAAGAACTGATGTGATAGAAGTGTTAGGATGAAACGTCTTGGCAGTGTCCCAATTAGATCATGTCATGTTGGTACCTGTTCATCTGAACCAGGACTCACTTCCTGCCCATCGGAAGGGACGAGGTAAAATGTGTCACTGCCTCGTCGGCTCTGCTGAAACAACACAAGACTACCATGCAACATTGCCTCACAAGCATACTATCTATCTAACATGTGCGTCTAACTACAAACTGCAAACTCAAGCAACATGTAACTTGGTCTCGAACTATTTTCTCGATCTACAGAACGTTACACAGAGGCTAAGGCATGTACTGAAGTCCATCGATTAGGAGCGAGTGAGTCCCGTTTAATGCCACTTTGAACAGTGTTTCAGTTATATCGTGTCATGTCAGCTTGATGTGGGAGGAAAACCCCGAAGTGATGCATGATTACCTTTCCGAGAAACCCAAGAGCAAGGGTATGGTGCTGACAAACCAAGCCACATAAGCAAGGGATACAACTCTGCACAGTGAAATACGGAGCCTCAGACGACTGGGACATCCATGCACCAATTACAACAATAGTTGCGTTTAGAGCGTTACAGCCTCAGCCTCTATGTGGTGAATATACAAAGCAACTCATACGTGCACATGCAGCACAACATCATTCATCTACAGCACAAGGGGCTAGTATAGGGCTGCATCAGGGACTTATCTAGGATTCCAAACAATGTGCTCCTGGCAGGCAAGTTGGGGAAAAATCATTATTTGATCAATACTGAGTTCATTTATTCTTTAATTCAAAGGTATTTTACCAACAAATTTTCAGCATTGCATTCAATGCAATAATCCACAGCTAAGTATTAAAGTCTCTTCCTCTATATCATGTTTACTGGGCAGTGAAGTACAAGTCTCTACAAGGCCTAGGAGTGAGTGTGTTAAAATTTGATGTCGCATCGGCATTATTTCAGCCATATAGCGACTACAAGGCCAATATATTGGTCAGAACTATATCATCACGAATTGGTAAGGACCTAAATTCCAATTTGGGAATACCGAATATCGCCCTCTGAGCAGGTCTAGATAAATCCCTGTGCATGCACAGACACTGTCAGTAAATGGCTCTAATAGCAAGCACTGAACCTCAGAGTTTGCATAAACAAGGATAACTAATCACTCACACTAGTATGGAATATCACACCATGTGGAAAAAATGTGTTCTTGAAGATAAGTAAATAAATCTATAAACACTCATGTATGGAAGAGTGGTTCATTATACATGTATGAACATGTGTGTGTGTTCTGCTTTACATAAACTCACCAGCTGTGACGCCTCAATCATCTCCTTCAGCATAGTGATCTCATTCCGCAGCTCACGAATAGTGGCCACATTAGGGTCCTGCAATGGTTCATACAACAGAGGTCGTGTTAAGGAAAACCGAAACTATACTCTGTAAGTACTTGTATTTATTCTTATATACTGAAGAGGTTTTAAAAAGTATAGATGTATGGGAATGAACTGTTGTTTGACCAAAAACTGACTGATAAATGTTCACTTAAAGGAGTACCTCATTCACTTTCGGCTTATTGACGATGCTCTTGGCCCTCTGTGCATAGCGCAATGTGCTGATTGTCTCATTGTAGTAAATACTTGCTGGAGATATGGCTGAAAGGGGACAAAACATACATCCATCATGTGTTCAACTGAAGAACAAGGCACATCTTCATATACATCATTGCAAAGTGAATCTGCAGTTACATAATGACTAGAAACATACACTGTGGCAATATTCTGTGTAACTTCATGCTTTGAACAAGAAAAATGCAACATGCGACTCTTTTGACTTTGAGTTATGATAGGTCAAATAATTATGAATTAAAGACTCTATCTTACCCAATACAAAGTTTTTTCTTTACCCATATATAGTTACTGACATGTGAGTTAATGAGGTTCTGTTTCAAATGTGAAATTACAGTCACCTCTAGCTCAAACTCACAGGGCCTAATACAATCCCTTTTCACATGAATAATTACATTGAAAAATAAAGTGGATTATTACCCATAGGGTTAGAAATAATCAAGTAAATAAATATCACATGTGCACTAGTGCCGATATCACCTCACACACCAGTCTATTGTTTATGTAATCCAGATGGCAATCTTGACGTTATTTGAATCTTATTATGACATAAAGTCGGAAAGACGTCAATAGAAACGATATCATAGCTGAATATTGTTGAAGTCATTTGACAATTGTGTTTTTTTAAAGATTGCGGTCATGATCAGAGCATTTTTTTCTGAATGGGAGCTTAAAAGGATTAAGATAAAATGGGTAATAAAGAAATTATTACACTCGTATGTGTGTCATACTGATTTTAGGAAACACGTGTTAAAGTTTATGTATAACCCTCGTTTTTGCTCAGTTTTGTATAATGAGTGTGACAAAAATGATCGCATAATATTCTCTATTTTTCCCAGAACCAATTATTTTCTGGACATCATTTCCCAAGTGGCGGCATGCCAAATCTGTAAGTGTATGACATACTGGCGATCATGATGGTCTTGGAGTTGCCCCCCAGACTGTCCTTCAGCAGCCAGGTGAGGATGGAGTCCCTGTATGGGATGTAGAGTGAGCGCTGTCTCCGGGGACTGGACGGCAGGCTGGACATGCTTTCACCACCACTCATACTTTGGAAACTCTGGGAGGACCCCATGTTGTCAAGGCTCCACGACAACAGGGACTTCTCAGCTGCAAACAGTCACAAACATCACGTTAGATCTTTAAACTTTACACTGACTTTCAACAATAGCTAGCACCATCTCAATTCTGACCAGAGGATAACAGGGATCTTGCAGCTACAAACACGATCACAAACCTCAAAGTAGATCTTTCAACTTTACACCAACTTTTGACAAAAGAGCTAAAACATTCTCAAAGTTATATACGTTGTCAGTTTGTGAAAGCGTATACTAAACTAATATATGAACAACAAACATACATAACACCACTCACTATGATAAAACAATACCATTTGAACAGAGCAATCAGTCAATTCAAGGGAAACAACTCCTGCTGGCGTGATTGTTGCAGCTATTTAGTAGTGATGTTTCAATGTTTATCCAATGTATCTCACCGAGACTCTTGATGACATTGCCCAGTGTGACTAGTGACTTGTTGATGTTTCCGCCTTCTTTCAGTTGAACTCTGTTCTCGGAACTGTACGATGGATTAGCTCTCTCACTGAAAGCAAACACAAAGCATCAACTGAAAGCACATAAAGAGCATGTCACTACAAAAATACCCTGATGTGCACAAAAAGTGAGTGAGTGAGTTGGGTTTAATGCCGCATTGAACAGTATTCCAGTTATATCCCATCGTGTCAGCTTTATGTGGGAGGAAAGCCAAAAGTGATGCATGTCTTGGACGTTTACCACTTTGGTGAAACCAACGAGCATGGGTATGGTGGTGACAAAACTAGAAACATAATTGGGGCAAACCCAGGATTCGAACCCATGATCATAGGTTTCCAGCATGCCCAAGGTCATAGGTTTGTAGCATGCCCAACCCACCCACACAGCCACTGAGGCTTCCACAAAATGGAAGTCCGTCAACTGGTAGTCTAGATCACATACTTTGCATACCCCTCTGGTAAGTGCAAATTCAAATGGCTCCCATGTCTACAGTGTCTTTATAGAAGTGGTCAAAGGTAACATTTGTTACAATTGGGATTACACTTTCTTCACTTTGGGGGGGGGGGGGGGGGTTCAAATCCCAGGTGGGACTCCAACCCAAAGTGTAGTAGAATTTGTACTTTACAAAGAGAGTGTATCACAAATCATATAGTGTTCTGTGCACCTGTACAGCATTAACAGAAAAGAGGACAACTCATGTTGAAAGCATGTTTACTTGAGAAACCAACTGTAAGTGTATATTTCATAGGCAATGCCTCAGAAGTAACAAAGCACCAACATTGGCAATGTTCAGTTAAATGCTGCATCATATATGCTACTCAAAACAAGAAGAACACCCACAATTGAAAGGCTGTGTGTCGCAAAAACAGGGCGTGCCTTAACTTGTTTTGAGTAGTGTAGAGGATGAAAACAAGCCTGAGAAACATATCTCCCTTCGTCAAGGAGGTAACGGGATTACTATTGGCTGGTGCCTGAAACCCTACCTTCCTGCGAGGTCCACAAGGTGGATCTTGCTGATGATCTCATGAGGCAGGCCATCCTCCAGCTTGTCCTGCAATAGAACACAAACAAGGGATGATTACAGTAAGAAAACATAGAGAATACGAGGCTTGCACTCATACAAACTGATTTCCACTAGGGCTGGATGAGTCCAAATTTACTACCTGGGTATCCGACCCCCTAGCACCCGACCCTACCCTGGTGGTTACTGCAGGTCTCAAGAAATGGGTTCAAAATGTCCAATTGTGAATTGTTTTACTGGAGCCCTGGCATTTACTATTTAGATACACGTATAAAAACAATATGATCACGAGTACAGCTTTATCTTTATGCAAACTTATCATGAAACAACATATCATGTGACTAACCATGGGTCCGGGTCGTCCTGTGGGTACCTGGGTCCTACTCAGGACCCGCCCAACCCAGCTGTATCAAAGTGTGTTAGCCATTCCAGCCCTAATTTCAACACACCACTTACTTTCACAGGACTTGTAGTTGACATCAATAAGAAGATGATTCACAGACACAGTGTCTAAGTCATGACCATCTCATCATGGATGGGTACCATCTGACTAACGTTTTAATGATACCACACATATGGTTACCTCATATCATCCCCATGCTATGCGTTTTCGGACACTAAGAAACATTCATAGTTTTCTCTCTAACCACATGAACAACTGTAAAATATCTCATTCACTTTTAAAAGACAATTTTCTCTAAAAGTCATCCGAGTATTTACAATGTCTGTGTGATGCTACACCCCCTGTTAAAGCCGAGTAATTGCGACAAACATGCCCATCTGAAAACCTATGACGTCCAAAAACCTATGATCCGCCGATATACAATCTGTGGAATTAATGCAGAAAAGACCTGCTTGAAATATTATTTTCTCTTACAGGAGAGTTGATATGATTAATGAATATTCCTGTATCCACTAGGCAAGCCACCAGGGTTTTTAGTAGGAGATGATGGTAGGGTTTGTTTCTTTGTTTGTTTGTTTGTTGTTTAATACCGCATTCAGAAATATTTCAGTTATTTGACAGCAGTCAGCAAATAATCAAATAAGCACCAGACAATCCAGTGATTGACATCATGAGCATTGATCTATGCTGTTTGTTTGTTGTTTAATGCCACATTCAGCAACATTCCACGTATGTGATGGCGGTCTGTAGATACTCACTTCCAGATCTGACAATCAAGTGACTGACATCATGAGCATCGATCTACACAATTGGGATCTGATGGTGTGTATCAACCAAGCCAGCGAGTCTGACCAGCAATCCTGTTAGTCACCTCTAAGCATAGGTTGGTGGGGGACCAGTTCTAACCCTGAATCTCCAAAAGCTCTGTGAGTGGTACCTGGGTATAAACAATTGTGAGGATGGCATGGCTGCGGCTGCTGTGTTCATGCATGTGGGTGGCTGCTGTCGTCCGGTTCTCATTGCCTCTTGCCAGTAAACTCTGAAAGGTCTCATCGTCCATTACTGCATGCCGTGACAGATCTACAAAATAACATCAAATACATGTCTCATCTTGAAATGTGTGTTTCTTCCTAGATCATGTCACAGTTGAGTTTACGTTTGAGGACGTCTTTCGAGACCCCACAAATATTTTGGCTTATTATCAAGATAATGTATGGTAATGGATAATGCTAATGCAGTTTTAAAATAATATTATCATACAGTTAAACACCATTGTGTTGAACTTATCCGAGGTTCGATATCACCGAAAATCATAAATAAAGAAGGAATATACAGGGACCAAGTTTTTACTTCGAGGCAACCGGAAGTTCGCCACATCAAAGTTACCAACAATGGTGTGTGATCTGTCGAATGGCAAAGTCACCAAGGGTCTGATCAGATTAATCAACAGATTTACTATAGACATACAAGACATTGCAGTTCTTTAACTTTGTGACCAGGCTGACTTACCCTCCACATATGGTCCTTCCTTGGGGTGCTCCCTGACCTTGAGGGTGTGCCGCTCACTCTGTCCCATGGCTGGTGGGGTCAGCAGGTCTCGCACCCGTTCATTGTAGATCTCAAGGTAGCTTAGCAAATCCAAAATAAAGATATTTCATACACATTTTTGGCCCAAACGTTCAGGATGTTAGGTGCAAAAAAATCAAAAATCCAAACCTTGACATCAGTTTTAGTTCCTCAATATGTTAAGTAGGTAGGAAAAATGAATTGTGGGTTGGGAGGAATAGGGAAAGAAACCGCAAATGACGGATTGCCTGTTTAATGCAACAATAGATTCATGAATCAACCCTTTCCAAAATCTTCTGTTTCAGCTTCTTCCCAACTTCACAAAGGATGCCCTTCAATTTATTTATATTGATAGTGACAGTAAATGAGCTGTTTATTCACAACGTTACTTATTTCTGTTTGGCAGAATGAAGAAACAACTGCTTTTCATTTTTTAGATATTTTTTCAGATTTTAATTTTGGGAAGTTGTGGAATTTAAACCAAATTTTTAGAAATTGTCTGGCCTAATGACAGAGAACTGTTCCAGTCTATGGATTCAGTCTACACACTGTGTCATGTCATATTTGTTTATGTAAAGAATTCTGCCTGCATGACCCAGGGTAGAGGACTTGCGATGTGACCAAATACAAACATGCATGCACTTTCAGTCTTACAGACGACTAACTGATGTTGGTGATGTAGATATGTGCAGAAGGTAGATGCAAGGTAACCAGATGTAGACAAGGCAAGCACACACTCAAGGGTGCAGACAAGTGAGCAGATTACTGCTACTCCCCATATTACATAAAACAGGCACTATTGCTCACCAGGTACATTCAAAGTCAGCTGAATGTGTAATGAAGTCTTCAGCCATCAAGTGAGGAAAAGTTTGAAATGTTTTCATATTAAGTGGAGTCATGATGTCTGATTGATGCGAGAGGACAGTGTGATCTCCGTGAAATATTTGCTAAGCATTGCCATGACAACACACATCCTTGTAGAGCATCACCGAAAAGCAGTTACAAGCCAAAGTTGCAAAATCATAAACAAAGGCCAAAGTTGAGTGAAAATAATGGTGTGTAAAAGCAAGTATCAACGTTATTATCTAAACTAAGTTCATTGTAATATTCTTAACCAGTTTATAAATATTATATATCCCATCAAGTATAAGCTCTCTGGGTACTGTCTGAGATGTTTAAATAATTTTCTCATTTCATGAATATTTTTATTTAAGTTATTTTAAGTTAAATATACATGTATTTAAAATTTCACATCATTAAAAAATCCCAGTCACATTGATTTCTACACATCTTCATAAAATTTCAGCTCTCGGACCTTTGTGGTTTCTGCAATGAAGATTATTCAAGATTTCTAAAAGTTTTTTGGTGTTTTTTTAAATCTGTGTTATTTAATACATATCATAAAAATAGTTGGAGTTTCCTAGACCTTTCGGCTGATTTTTGCCAATTTCAGCCCCCAAGAAATCTTTTTATTCCCCAAAATGTAGTTTTTCATTTGGAAGCCATTCACAAAGGTGAGTCGTTTCATGGAATGAGACATTTTCCAAATGTTTAGGCTCTTAGTAGAAGTGGTCAAGACAAAGAAGAATGTGCCATGCCACCATCTTCCATGGTGAGATAACAAATAACTTGTCTATAAAACCTGACGGTCACATTTATAAGTATTGTAACATCTACGCAGTTTGATTTCAAATTTGTAGAATATCCATTAAGAAATACAAGAGATATTCTTTAAAGGCCCTCTCTCAGGCTTAAAAAAATAGAAGAATTGGTTCTCAGGCAATGGCTTTTGAAAATATAGTGCGGGCGGGTGGTGTTATGGTTTTGGGGGGTTGTTGAAGCTGTTGTTGAACGTTTGTTTGCAATAATTTTGGCAAAATCATTTTGTTCTCAAGTATTGTAGCATTTCTCTGCTGGGGTCGTGTGTTCAAGACGCAGAATATTTCAAGATTTTTTTAAAAATGGAAATAAAAATGAAACGTGCGGCCAATCTCATTAAAATCAGATCTTAGTTCTCGCTACCGCTAAACAAAGATCTGAGGACATCCCATTACAAGTCACGTCAGAATGACCTTTCATCCAACCAATCAGAGCGTCGCTTTCCAGATCATGAAAGTGACGGTTGGAATGTGTTTTCTAATCATGCAACCTCAAAATATTTAACACGGGGTACTCCAAACGACTGTTACAGGTTTTATGATTATATCCATACAATCTAGGCCATCTGTAAGCGATTCCAGAATATGTTTTTTTTATCAGTTTTAAAATCTGTAATCGAGAATACTTCAAAATATGTTTCGAAGTGATTTCTTGTCAGTCATTAAATTTCATTGGTCGGTCAAAGTTCGGGAAAGGTCGTTCTGACGTGATTTTAATGAGATTGACGTGCAGCAGACTTTATGATGATGTGCCTGATAACCAAGACTATTATTTTTTTAGCCTTAGCTTTGCAGAATTATGGAGCAGAGATCTAACGATGTTATGGCCTGTAATTTAACGTGGAGTAAATTTGTTTGACCTACCTGACATCCACTCTGTGGCTATTTCTGTGCTCATTGTTCTCCCCAAGCACATGTATGTGACTGAACAGCCCCTGCAATACACAACACACATGTCTGAACAGCCCCTGCAATACACAACACACATGTATGTGACTGAACAGCCCCTGCAATACACAACACACATGTCTGAACAGCCCCTGCAATACACAACACACATGTCTGAACAGCCCCTGCAATACACAACACACATGTATGTGACTGAACAGCCCCTGCAATACACAACACACATGTCTGAACAGCCCCTGCAATACACAACACACATGTCTGAACAGCCCCTGCAATACACAACACACATGTATGTGACTGAACAGCCCCTGCAATACACAACACACATGTATGTGACTGAACAGCCCCTGCAATACACAACACACATGTCTGAACAGCCCCTGCAATACACAACACACATGGATGTGTCTGAACAGCCCCTGCAATACACAACACACATGTATGTGACTGAACAGCCCCTGCAATACACAACACACGTCTGAACAGCCCCTGCAATACACAACACACATGTATGTGACTGAACAGCCCCTGCAATACACAACACACATGTATGTGACTGAACAGCCCCTGCAATACACAACACACATGTCTGAACAGCCCCTGCAATACACAACACACATGTCTGAACAGCCCCTGCTATACACAACACACATGTCTGAACAGCCCCTGCAATACACAACACACATGTCTGAACAGCCCCTGCAATACACAACACACATGTATGTGACTGAACAGCCCTTGCAATACACAACACACATGTATGTGACTGAACAGCCCCTGCAATACACAACACACATGTCTGAACAGCCCCTGCAATACACAACACACATGTCTGAACAGCCCCTGCAATACACAACACACATGTCTGAACAGCCCCTGCAATACACAACACACATGTATGTGACTGAACAGCCCCTGCAATACACAACACACATGTCTGAACAGCCCCTGCAATACACATGTCTGAACAGCCCCTGTAATACACAACACACATGTATGTGACTGAACAGCCCCTGCAATACACAACACACATGTCTGAACAGACCCTGCAATACACATGTCTGAACAGCCCCTGTAATACACAACACACATGTATGTGACTGAACAGCCCCTGCAATACACAACACACATGTCTGAACAGCCCCTGCAATACACAACACACATGGATGTGTCTGAACAGCCCCTGCAATACACAACACACATGTCTGAACAGCCCCTGCAATACACAACACACATGGATGTGTCTAAACAGCCCCTGCAATACACAACACACATGTCTGAACAGCCCCTGCAATACACAACACACATGTCTGAACAGCCCCTGCAATACACAACACACGTCTGAACAGCCCCTGCAATACACAACACACATGTCTGAACAGACCCTGCAATACACATGTCTGAACAGCCCCTGTAATACACAACACACATGTATGTGACTGAACAGCCCCTGCAATACACAACACACGTCTGAACAGCCCCTGCAAAACACAACACACATGTCTGAACAGCCCCTGCAATACACAACACACATGGATGTGACTGAACAGTTCCTGCAATACACAACACACATTTATTACAAATAGGGTTAAAAATAACCAAGTTCATTCAATCGTATTTGCACTAGTGCATTAGTCCCATCATCCAGCATTATTTACATCATTCATATTTTATTGTAATGTAATAGTTTTAGGTACAAATTTGAATCAATGGAACTTTTAATTATTTATTTTATTCAAGACATCCTACTGGGTGATCAGTGGGCTGTGGCTGGCAACACAACACAGCCCAGTTAACCAGATCCCTAACACCATCACTTTGTCACAACACACTATGCATATGAAGGTATCTGAGTGACGGACAGGGTTTCCTCAAACATACAAAGCCTTATATAATAGAGTTCTGATAACTGTCTTTGATAAACATCCTGTGTTATCATAATCAGCATAACAAGTAATGATTTGTATCAAACTATAGCCTTAAGCTTGTCCTGGCTATTTAGCTGCAACAGTGTTGACATTGCGATAAACCCATACAATCAACTGGACCTTGGGTGCAACCCAAGCACCCTATCTGAATCTATTCACTATTTTCACACATTGAGTAAGCCTTATTTACTAGTCATTTTAAAGCCATTCATAAGGAACTGACATGAGTCAGCCATAGTGAGTCACTCAACCAGTGGGACAGTACCAACTACAGAGCTTAGCTGTCTTTATCTGGATCTTCACTGCAGATTATGTACAGCCAAACCCTAATGTTTGACACTGGACAGTATTTCCGGGGAAAGTGTCAAGCAACAAGTGACTTGTATTCGTTTGCTCTGAGACATGGCAGTCATAAGGTGAACATTAACCCTTCCACTTGATCAATCATGGAACAAATTCCGGGGTACATTCAAGTACTGCTTTATTATGTGCCATAGCAAGCACCTGCAGCAAGAACTGATGCTATAGCAAGCACCTGCAGCAACTTATGCCATAACAAGCACCTGCAGAAGCAATTGTTGCCATAGAAAGCACCTGCAGCAACAACTGATGCCATAGCAAGCACCTGCAGCAACAACTGATGCCATAGCAAGCACCCGCAGCAACAACTGATGCCATAGCAAGCACCTGCAGCAACATATGCCATAGCAAGCACCCGCAGCAACACTGATGCCATAGCAAGCCCCGCAGCAACAACTGATGCCATAGCAAGCACCTGAAGCAACAACTGATGCCATAGCAAGCACCTGCAGCAAAATAAGAACTTCAAAAATCCCAAATTTTTCTAAGGGCACAAAGTTTGGAATCCTACATAAATCCCCCACACAGTAATCACACAACATGCAGCTGAACTGAGTTGGTCATAGGTACAACACTCATTTGGATCAGATTCTACTAACACATACAATCTATGCTATATACATAAGGTCAAAGAACAACTCACATCTCCTATCCTGGGTATCACTCCTTCTTCACTCTGCAATAAAGTATGAGTTCATTTATAGAGTATTTGTCAGTAGAAATAAGAGCATGATTTATTGTTTCAGTGATGAAGTTAAGCGTTGAGCATCAATATCAATATCATCATGATCATTGCATTGAACAGTTTTCTATCGAATGTTGCATAAATCTCCCACAAAACAAACATTGATCATGTGCTAGAAAACCATATGAGAACAGATTTTTATATATTTTTCCTTGTTTATGGAAATATGGCCAGAAATTTAGATCAGTATGTAAAAAAAAAAAAAAAAAATATTTTTTAGGATTTCCTCTAAATTTGAAGTAGGTAGGACAAAAATGTGGGGGCGGGAGGAATAGGTAAATAAACAACAACAAATGTCGCGGCTGGATTGGCTGTTTAATGAAAAGAAATATTTTTCTTGAGTCTACACATTCCAAAATCTACTGTTTCTGCTTCTTCCCAACTTTTAGGGAGCAGTGGAGAGGAGGCTGGAGGCCTTAAATATATTCATTAAAGCGACAGTAAGCGGGTTTGGTTTGTAACATTTTACTTATTTCTGATCAGGGGAATAAAAAACTCACTGCTTGTCACTTTTTAGATATATTTTCAGATTTCATTTTTTTCAAGTTGGCGGATTTGTAAACCAATTTTTAAAACAATTTGTGGCCTGAGTACCACACTTTCAACAACACTCATATCACTGCATATAATCATTTATCATAATGAAGAGTTTTTACAAATATGTTTGTTTGTTTGTTGTTTAACGCCACACTAAGCAATATAACATCTATATCGGTCAGTAAGGAATCAATGGTGGACCAGACAATCCAGGGATTGATATCATGAGCATCGATCCACGTGATTGACATGACATGGCATGCAATGACATGCATCAACCAAGTCAAAAAGCCTGACCATCCGATTCAGTTTGTCGCCTCTTACAACAAGCATGGTTACCTTTTATGGCACGCATGGGTTGCTGAAGACCAACTCTAACCCAGATCTTCACAGCTACATATATGTAAAATATACAGTGACCTAGTCTTACATATGAGACAACCAACCATCTGAAGTGATATCATGTATGTAAACTTGGCAAAATGAAGTTGACATGACAAAGCACAACCTTTCCCACTGTGAATCAGATGATGATGATGATGATGATGATGATGATGGACAATGAAACTGACTGCCACGAATTAGGGTGTTGTTGTCATTACACAATATTCCTTGCAAGACCTGACCTTACCAAGTTTCCCATCATTGTGTATGTCTTGCCTGTTCCTGTCTGGCCATACGCAAACAGACAGGCATTGTATCCTTCCAAGGCAGCCTGCAGCACCTCTGTTCCCAGATCTTGGTACACCTGAAGCAGAGAACTCTTAGTTAGCCTCGTATCCCATGTCCCATGCGTGGAACTATTTATCATCCAAAACTGGCTCCTGCAGGAGATATCGCTTGGGTAAGATCAAGCGATATCTACATTGTAGATATCGCTGCAATGAAATCGTCACAATCAATTGACATCACTAATGGCTCTGCTACTGAAGCTCTGCTACTGAAGACACTGCTTATTACTGTCTACAAACTGAAAAAGTTGAAAGAAGGATGTTGGATGATGAATAAAATCTCACCCTCGTGTCTTTTGATATCAAATATATCAACACTTGTTGATATATTTGTAATCAAAAGACACTCGGATGAGATTCTCTATAGCTATGCGAAAGAAGTAAAAGAACACACTATTTTTTCATGTGTCTATAGTTAATCTTTCATGGCTGGTGGGTATTGCAACACACAGCCTTCCAATTGTGGGTGTTCTTTAACTTGTTTTGAGCAGTATACTTGATTTTGTCATCAGCATCAGCATCAGCATCAGGTCACAATAACATGACAATCATATGAACAGATGGTTGGCTGCCAGATCGCCATGGAATCTAACATTTATTAGAAGTACTTCTTTCTCAGTCATGGTTGGCTGCCAGATCGCCATGGAAACTAATATTTATTAGAAGTACTTCTTTCTCAGTCATGATTGGCTGCCAGATCGCCATGGAAACTAATATTTATTAGAAGTACTTCTTTCTCAGTCATGATTGGCTGCTAGATCACCATGGAATCTAATATTTATTAGAAGTACTTCTTTCTCAGTCATGGTTGGCTGCCAGATTGCCATGGAAACTAATATTTATTAGAAGTACTTCTTTCTCAGTCATGGTTGGCTGGCAGATCGCCATGGAAACTAATATTTATTAGAAGTACTTCTTTCTCAGTCATGATTGGCTGACAGTTTCAGATTAAGACAGTTACCACAGTTACGAAATGCAGAATTTCAAAATTCAAAGTATTTGTAGCAATACATTTTTCGAAGAAGGTTGATGTTGAGAATATTAAAATTTTACTGCCCACAGAGAGCCGGAAACTTGTCACTTCTCTGTCTCAAACAACTTTGTCATATATTGTGCCCTGACTGCAGAATGCTGTGACATAATATACTACTCCAGTTTTGATAGGGACAATCAGACATGTGGTTCAACTTCAACGTACACTTGACATATGATAAGAATAAGTTTTGTATATCATGGAAAGATAAAAAATATCGCTATCTAAAAGTGGAGTAGTATAATTGTGAGGGGTTTAGAACTGAACCCTGCCAGGTTCATGTCCCCTTCTTCACAGAAGTCTCCACGGAATGTTTATTACAAAGTAGCCGAGTATATATCAACATAAAGGTGTCAAACACACAGGAAAGGCATGTGCACAGTTGATCAATCAGTTTCACTGCATAAGCCCACTATTGTACACATGCAGGCCACGATGGTTCAGCCCTACATAACGACTGTCCATATCTGAAAATATGCAACATTGTAGGTATTTATTCAGATGACATTAGCATGTTGAGACGCACAGCCTTCTCCCGAGTTCTTTCATTCTGTCACGCATAGATGTATGTGACCCTGTGACGAAGCCAAGTGTCAGAATACAAGACAATTCTCATGTCATCTGGGCACAAAGGACACAGATCACAAGGAACAGTTTTACAAATTATACACAAAATAATTAAGTTCTTTCATACAGACAAACCTAATTACCCATGATTACCATGCTAACTTTGCAACACAAAAACAGCCATATCGTACTTCCTTGATTAATGCCCGGGTGCATATTTCTTTCAGACACTCTTTCCCTTGGCGTTTAATCGAAAAGATAATAATGGGGACAACTCCATGCATAAAAGCTAATGGAGGTCTGGCATTTATTCACGGCCCAGCATTTAGTTGAGGAAATACAGTAGGTGACATTCACAGACAGACATCTTTCACACAGAGACCTAGTTGTCAGGTTGTCACAGAAAATCTTCTGTGCAAATACAAGATGAAGTGTTGTGGCTTGATATGAATTCTAGATTATCTGGCCATGTATTCATGTATATACACTGAAACCCTCTTGATCCAGACAGCTGCATTCCCCATAAATCATCTGGATTAAGGAATCATGAATATGTCCCTTTACTTATATTCATTAACCTATCACCGTATTACCCAATATTGCATGAAGTTCCTCACAACCTCGGTTAAAACTAGATGGGAAGTAAATTAGTAACCAGCTCATCTTCCAAAGCATGGTTTTGAAGCAGCCCTCTTCCAAACCCAAATTTAAAGCGGTTCTCATCCAAACCTAGGTTTTAAGACAGGTTTTAAGACCTAGGTTTTACATTGACATTTTGTAGCTATCAAACTAGCCTTTTGATACGAATATAATGCTGATTTTTGATTGTTTAAAAGTCACAATTTTATTTTTACATGAAATTCCACAACATGAATGAAACCTGCAACCTCACATATCATGTTAAATTTTGTAACCCTCTGTTTTCCCACTCAGCCACCGGGACAGGCAATGAAAGGTTGTTCAATTTTACATGTCGTGACTGCAGTTGTGTCCATGTTTTTTCTCTCGAACGCATTGATCGAATTTTTGGTATAGCGCAACACACTGTATTGTTTCAATAACAGGTATCTCAATGTTTTCTGATTTTTTCTGGTATTTCTTGCACTTAGACAGTTCATAAGTTGGATAAAAACACTCCTCGGTTTGGTTGAAAATATTGAACCTCAAGCTCGGGAAAAGCCCTCAGACCTACAGCCTTGGGCTTTTCCCTCACTCGTAGTTTTATGTTATATCCTTAACTTAATCGTTCTCAGTTGTGATCACCTGGAAGGCAAGGTTTCTGGATTAACAGGGTTTGGACTAACATGGCTTCACTGTATGTATGTAGTTTGTATAGAATGCTTCCAGTAGGCATCAGGAAGAGCAGAAGAAAAGAATATTCTGCATCCCATGGGACACACAATATGCATTGTACCAAAATCTTGACAGATATATAAAGGTCCTATAATTTAAGTATTTATCAAGCTGTAGAGGACAGCACAATACACCACTGGGACTATTTCATCACTTTACAGGATGTCCTATTTCCTGGAAGGACCCTGGAAATTAAGTATTGGGATACCATGGACCCCTAGTTTCTAAGTCGAGGTAATACCCTGTAATATGATTTACTAATTATTCAAAATATGTTTATGTTGGAACTCATCAATTGGGGTGGTGGGGTAGCCCAGTGGATACAGTTTTCACTCATCAAAGATCCAGGTTCAATTTCCTGTAAGCAATGGTATGGTTGCAATGCATGAAGCCAATTCTTGGTATCCTGCAGTGATATGACTAGAATATTTGAAAAAGCATTTAGCCATACTCACCCACTTACTACATTTAATGATGGATCATAGCTATCATGTGTCATATCACAATTCATATATTTAGTTACATATCATAGCATAGCAAAGTGTATCATTACAGCCCGCTGCAAATGTATACAAGGCCGAAGACAGGTCTGCACACAACATGAGCTATCTGACCAACCGAGAGTCATGCCTCACTGACTGCATTGCCATGTACGCAAAGATAACAAGACTACACACAGACTAATCATGGGATCTTCGAGTACTCATATCGTGTTACATACTGCTAATAAACAGTTTACAGTCTCTAACACACTGTGATTTCATAATTATTGATCAATTAGACTACATGTATCACTATAATCAAACCTTCATATGCATACAAACTGACTTTGTTTAAAGTTCACAAAATCTATTAAAGCCAATTCATTAAAATCATTCCTAACTTTTAGTCATGTGGTATGTAACCTTTGACCTCGTCAGTACTGACAAGGATTTGTCTACAAATTAGATCCAGTCATATTTAAGTTGCCATGTTGCAGAAACCAGTTTGAATTTAACATGACCCGTCTCTTAAACAGGACTATCAAAATGGAAACTTTGGTCCCATTTGATCAATATTCGTCTGGAGAAATTATCAGGAAACAAAGCCACGATGGAAGGATGGTTACGGAGCACACCTTCCTCACGAGTAATGCAGTTTTCTGACCTTATTATCATATGTGTGTATTCATGTGGCAGTACAATCCATAAACACTAAAATAACAAATCCATTACTTACAAACACTTACTTTTCATGCAAATTGTGCCCATGACGGTGCTACCAGTATGGAGAACACCTGGTGTCATGACTAATTTTCAGTGATCCACTCATAACTGTCACTGCTCTTTTGCCTTTTATCATGTTAATGCCCTATGGAATCTGTTTCAAAACTGGTTATTCTCTGGCACTGTTCTTTTAAATATTTACACATAATCAAATCTCAATATATATACGTTTGACCAATCGCTTAATTGCAGACTTCATAAACATGTATCGATATTCAAATAAATGCACATACAAATAAGCATAGAAATAAATACAGGAAGAGCTACACAGCTACACTACACTGTGGCCACACCAGCTGTGTCAAAGTGACAACTGAACTTATTGATATCCCTGCAGGGACTCTTGAATTAGGCTTCTTTCAATTTGTCTTACACTTGGCTTTATCTGGGCCTCTGTTGAATGTTTTGCAATTCTTGTATAAGCAAACTTGAATCCAGCTTAGGATACCATGCATAGATCCCTTTCAATCTGATTACCAGGCTACACCTAATGCCTTTATATGTTGTGTAACCATACAAGTGATATGTATGAGGAACACTCCATTGGATAACCTCTATAGCAGACATGTATGGGGAACACTCTGTTGGATAACCTCTACAGTAGACATGTATGGGGAACACTCCATTGGATAACCTCTATAGCAGACATGTATGGGGAACACTCTGTTGGATAACCTCTATAGCAGACATGTATGGGGAACGCTCCATTGGATAACCTCTATAGCAGACATGTATGGGGAACACTCCATTGGATAGCCTCTATAGCAGACATGTATGGGGAACACTCTGTTGGATAACC